TTTCTCCCACGACTCTCCAAAATATGATGTAAAATTAAAAAGACATATTCAAAAACGCAAATTAGAGGATGTATAAAATAATTACCTTCTCTTCTGTCTTCCACAATTTCTATTGTTATTTCAAGAATATAATACGCACGCACGTAGGTCCAGTTGGTTCGCGCGTACTCCAATATACGAAGATAAATGGTATATTCTCACATTTTGATACATATCTTTCTCCTCTCTCCAATTTAATAAATTTTGGTTCCTATAGTTCTCGAGGGATGGAGCTCTTTGTCCTTTTGCATTTCACATTAACTATGTTTCATAAGCGTATTTAAAAAATCTAATGATTATCTTTTAAATTCAGCCATTTCAACCAATCTCGCAAACAGTTTAACTAAACATAATAGAAATTTGTATTGAAAAACTGTATTGCTCACTTGTGAGTATGTTTTTTACGCTCAGTGAAATTTACAATTTTTACCTCTTAATTTTAACCTTTGAAATTTCATTTCGTTTAACATAATACACAATATTCTTTTTGATATTTTCTCTTCATTACGATTGTTCAACATCAAACTCAGTACTCTCGGAATCGTTATATATTATATTTCTATTACAACATTTTACTTTTATTGTACGTAACACGTATAATGTCCCAAAGTAATTTCATGTACAAAAATAATGATCAACGCCATCAATGCATGTGCATACGCAAATCAAGTATTATTAAGATTCTACGTAGATATCAAGATTAGTGAGTGATTGTATGTGGATTAGAAAAGCAAAAGGAATCACATTACATAGATTAAAAGACCTCCACTCGTGTTTTGAATTCGTACTTTTATGGCACGGTACGTGATTTTAAAAAGGCAATCCTATCGTTTCTCTCTTTCGCCGTTACGAGAAATAATTTTCTCCCGCACTTTTTCTTATATGCAACCGCAGCCTTTTTTTTAACTTTTAAATGTTTTTTTTCGAATAAAGTTCTACAATTATAGATTTCAATAAAAAAATTCACAGATTTTATGGAACTAAATTATAATTACAATATTTATATTTGAAAAAATAAACAAGATATTCTCAAAGTTATGATAATATAATTTTACCTTATATAACTTAAGAACTATATTGAAATACCTTCGCTAAACACATTAGTAAAATTATTATTTAGATATGAACTATATTTAAATAATTTTCTTTAAACTACAACATCTCAGAAGATAAAACAAGTATTATTCAATTTTTTAATTTTTCTATAATAAAAATATATACTTTCATTTTTAAGTAATATAAAGTATATTGATATGATAAAATATTTACATTCTATTATGTATAACTTTATATTATGTAGAATTAATTATAAATAATATTATAAATTACAGATTTCAATATATTCCAATGTTTTAACAGTACACATGCGATTAAATAATACGAAATAATGTAATGGATGTTTACTTAATTTCTGATTTTACTTTTAATAAATGGTTCTTTATACATATTAATAATTCAGGACACACAAATTCACTTGATTTCAGAATACAGATACATAATTTGTCCATATATGTAATATAATTGTAATTTTTGAAAATTATAAAATTGTGAAATAAATTTTTGTTCGGTCGTTATAAAAATATCGATCTAAATATAAAAAGTAAATTTGCATATATAATATTGTAGGGTACACAAAATTGTCAAATTATTATTTTTATATTATTCGCATATTATTATTATTTATTTATTATTATTCGCACTACGCGCAAAATATCTTTAATATTTAAATTATATGGAAGGTAACTTAATTTCCTAATAACATGGATTTGATTATACACAGACATAATAATATCCTCAATTATTCAATAAATTACAAAGGATAATCGATAATCACAAATAATACATAGGTCAACGACCCGATGATTCGACAAAATGATTAAATCAGATGGTTAAAGTTAACCGTTACGAAATGACCATAAAAGTAATTCCGAAAGCATAATTATAAATATCGATGATTAATTAGACATTTTATTATATCTATTAAGGTAATAGAGTAATATTATAAAATATTTTAAAATTTCCAAGGACATAATCGAGAATTCGTGGACGTAAAATCAGTATCGAAAAAACATAAATTTAATCCCGATTTCAGAGGGACTCCATTGAACCAATCTTCATTTGACAATGTTTTTAGAATTATGAGCACGAAGGTGTGATGAATGTCAAGGGCTCGTATCTTCTAATAGCTAAACTCAACTGCCATGACGAGAATGCACACTTTCTCCTGACGAGCGTCGACTATACTTTAATAAATTCATCGTCAGTATGCTGGCTATCGACGCTATCATGAAAACTAGCTCACGGCACGTATTATCTCGTCTCGCTCTTAGGAGTCTGCGGTAGAAATCTGGATTTATCTCCGTGCGGGTTTCACTTGTATTTTACCGCTACGTGTAAAAATGGAAAGTTTCCCTTTCGCCGCGAATGCACAATGCGTAATTGCAGGTGACCATGACCTTGGCATTGGATCGTCAAGCTGATCGAAAACGAAATACGACCTTATCTGCGTTACCTCGATCACAACTGACATCCTTTTTTCAGATGTTCCAATTGGTCAGTCGTGAAATCATAGGTAGTAGATTTGAAACAGATGAATCTTGAAAAATGAAACTTTTTATGGTATTGAACAGTACTGTTTAAATAACAATAAAAAATTTCTTAATTATTCGCTGGATAAAATATTTATAATGCGTGGCGTGCGCATGTGTCATAAAAAATAAAACAAAGTTTTGACACTTTTGGTAAACAGGTTTAAGAAGTAATTATAATACTTTTTACAAGTATTGAACATTAAAGGGAAATTAAGGAAAAAATAGTAACACCAATTGATAAAAACCTTTATTTCAGTGAAATACATACTGTTATATAATTATTTTAAATGTTTAATTAATTTAATAATTTAAAATTTTATTCAAATTTAAATTAAAGTGAATCGATATCGATAATCACAAAACTTTCTCATTTTCATTAATTATTAAATACAATTTGTTAAATACAATAATTTTATCTTACGTATATAGGAATCAAGGATAATTTAATCTGTGTTACCATTAAAGCATTCATCGAATGAATTGACTTTATTGTTTGAATTATCTTTCACAGCAAATTTAATGGTAATACAAAAATCAATAAAATTAAACTTGAAACCAAATCTTTTAATTAGAAATGCATAATCGGTAAACATTCTTTATTAAAAAAACTACCTCGTAAAAAGTAGATTTACAATTTCTTTAATTTTTCATTATTTCAACATGAATTTGTAAATAATCTCAAATAACAGAAAATTATTTTAATAGGAAAATATAAGGTACACTAAGTTATTAACATTATCGCTTAAACTATAGACATTTATCACCCCGACTATTCAATATATGAGGAGATAGTATAAATCAGATCTAACATTCGTAACTAACTGTACTTTTATGATATCTACTATTAATAAAATTAGTTTAAAAATTCAATTTTAAACTAAAGCAGTTTAAAAAGATTACAAATATACATATGAATTAAGTCATATTATATATTTTTATATATAATATCTATATATATAATAAAATATGTTTTGTAATAGCAAATGTTTTACTTTTATATAGAAATACACTTTGTTAAAATTTTATAAAAATGGAAACCTTTTAACAGGACATAATATCGACGTCCCTACATACATTTGCAACATTAATTGTGACAAATCAAATTGAGTGAAAAAATTTATCAAAAAATATCCATCAATAGCGACCACTTTAAAACAAAACGTAAATAATATTAATGTAAACAATTTTATAATATAATTTAAAAAATTTTTGCATATATAGAAGTTTATTTTCATTTAGATATTTTGAAAGATTTGTTTACATACATATACAGATTCAAGTAAGCAAAACTAAATAAAAATAAATTAAAATTTTTCCAAAGTTATTCATAAAATTATAAAAATAATACGAATCATACGAATATTAAATTTTATAGTACTATTTATAATGAAATAATATAATAGACTTTTTGAAGTATAATTAAAAGTACTTATACTAAACGCGTCAAATTTTTTATTTATTGTAAATAACTATTGCAGACTGTCCAAATGTTCATAATTATATTCGCATTGTAGAATAGTAATAATTTTTTATGTTAATATATACATCTAATATATTGAAGGTATGAATTTTACATACACAAATTTTGCAATAAATAGGTTAAAACATTGAATATTAAATTACATCATCATGAAATTGTAAATCAGTCGAATCTTTCATTAATCCTGATAATCCCTTAATCCATTTAATACCCAATTCATTACTAAAATAATATCAAAGTCACTTAAGCTATCCTCGATCGGCATTAATGTTCGCAAATGCGATTATCGATATAACTATCAGAAACACTAAGTTTCATTCGGTTTGAAATATACAAGTATGTTTAAATTAATGAAACATAAAAAAATAATTTCATTATTTCAAATAACATTATGCCTGCACGCATTTAATATCGCTGCTAAGAGTAACTTCTCAATTTTTATTAATTTATAAAATATATGACTTTAAAAAGTAGCCTGAATCAAAATAATCATCAAGTAAAACATAGGCATTGTGGCTCTTGAAAAGTGATAACTTATATCTATCAAGCGTATTCATGAAAAAATAGCGATATCTCTATCGATACTGACATCAAACAAAATGCATAAATCTCTGGTGTAAATGAAGAAAAGCGTCGACGTTAAAAAGTTTTCTCTCAGCGGTAAACGAATCGCGTCCCCTCTCTTCCGCCCCTCAAAAGACGAAAAGCGAATTTTCCTTACCCAATTGTCGCGCTTCAGCTAAAAGCTTTCCCCAGATGCGCATAAACTCAAATCAGGTTGATGGACTCCCACTCTAGGTACCACTGCCAATGACCCGGGGATGCCCAAGAGAGGGTAAGCGTATGCCTACAGCAGTATAAAACGCTAATACGCGAATATGTATAGATCAGTCCGTGTCTAGATATAGGAATCTGTATATCTGCTGAAAAAGATTGAAAAGGCACGTAGTTGTTTATTTGTTATTTCATCTAAGTGCAGAAAGTGCTTTAAGTGCTGAGTCGTCTGAAGAATCAACATGTTGCCTGTAAGTTCATTGTGTTAATTATTTGTTAATATATTTCTCAATTTATTCTCTCCCTTCGTTATAATACGAATTTTTTAATTTGAAACTTTTTCAAATGCAATCGTTATAATCGTCACTCGAGTTTGCGATAATTCAAATTCTATAGAGAAAATCTATTGCCTCAATTCAATTAACGTTCTGAATTATATTATAAAATTTTATTGCTGAAAATTTCTATAATATAATTAATTATATGAAGATTATTTATTATACCATTTATGTATACATATATATATATATATATATATATATATATATATATATATATATATTTTTAGATTGTTTTTGCGGCCTTATGCGTGGTCACAATATCGGCTGAATCTTCATCGATCAACAGTAAGTAAGAAACTAACAGAAAATTCAAATAATTTTGTACATTTAATAAATATTTTATAATTAAATATACTCTATAAATTAAATATTTACCAATATTAAAGTCATATTAACAAAATTTACTTGCCTTTATTAAAACAATAAAGGTGTTATATAAAGATATAGTAAAGGATTAGACAAGTTAAAAAGTAAGTCGCAGTATTAAACTAATATGAAAAACCGAGTAATTAATAAATAATAATTTATTTACATGTATAAATAGATCAAATGTGCATATAATTTTATTTTTCTTTAAATAAAATATCTGTGGAGAATATTTCACTTCCGTCTTTCATAATTTCATTAATGCTATTAATGAAAATAATAGCCTCTAATTTATGGTATTTATTCATTCTATTTTATTGCCGTTATATGTGAAATAAATATAAAAATTGTTATACATTTCCTAGAAGTTATAAGGAATGAATTTATGAGTGATAATTATTATAAAAATTAAAAAAAGCCCTATAGTACTGAAGCAACAGAATAAACAGGATAGAATAATATGAAGTGACTTTATGCTTCCTTTTTGGCGCAGTACATCGAAACTTACGTCAATTTTCTATTCTCCCACTAACTTCAATATTTTCTTTTCCTTGGTCTCTAGTTAATAAGGTTACCATATATGACTATTCTATTATATAGTGTTGTTTATATTACAATATAAGTTCATTGTAACAGCTTATGGAAAGAAATATTTTTCGTGCATTAAATTAAATTCAATAATAATTCAGGTTAAATGCGTGACACCTTTAAATTGCAATTGAAATACGTACTTTAATCAAACGCATACAAAAACGTAATGTTTTCCTTTTAATCGCGCCAATAATCGCATATACTTAAAACACGGCTTTCTTCATTTATTGAGGCTGATGAGCATCGAGCGCCCGTACTTGATATTTCCTCATATCTAATATTTACCGGCTAATGGGCAAATTGCACATTGGCCGGCAAATGAAAATCCAGGCCCATAGTCGGCCGCGTGACGGCAGTTCGGCGCCTGATTGCGCCGTAGCCAAGGCGCAAAAGAAAGCAAACAGTCGTAAAAGGTTTCTGCGATGTGGCCTCCGTCGACCGGGAAATCGTTTTACGTGCCGGCGCTCCACTTTCTTTGCGCGTATATATGCGCGCCCCGTAATTGCATGCACGGCACACATGCTCAGGACCCGGGAAAAAGGGAAAATACGCCAGGTGTCAAGAAGCGATTCCCTCCTTGCCGGCTTTCACCGGAGTGGCGCCTTGTTTCCTGGCCGAAATACCCGCTTGCGTTATAATCAAAGTAGAGAAATCCACGAACAATAGAAATTGATTATCGTTATTATTGTATCCGTTCGGTTGGAACAGAATCGATTTTTTCCCCACGTTGGCGTTCATTGTTTTTATTTGTTTGCCAATAACAACGAAAATAATTATACTAATAGTAGACGCAGGCAGAAACCAGACGGGCTGCTATTCCTTTATGCGTTACTAACGGTATACGGAATAAAATATTTTTATTAACGAACCATTGGAATTTAATTTGCCAATAGTCGATTAATGATTTACATATTTGCCATAAGCGCGAGGATTTTCAAACCAAAGAAAATCAGCAATAACGTTTTTCTGGTTAAGAAAAAATATGAATTATTATTGACGCAAAGCAAAAGGGGGTCTTTTACACTACGAAGAGAAATTAAATTAAAATTTAGTAGAATGAGCTTACAGGCAACAGGTATTTATAATCATAGGAACTATTTAACTTGGTAGAAAAGGCACACATCAATATAAAAAGTTGAGAAGAAGGTTGAGAAGAACTTATAGCCGCTCTACAATCAAGTAGATTCCAATTAATCATGAAATTAAAAAAAAACCGCAAATATAAATATAGTCTTTTTTATATGAATAATTATCAAGATAGTAGATTACTTTACAGATATTACTATATATATCATATTGGATAAACTGTGAATTGTATTAAAGCATATATTCATGTTAGAATGAGCTATTTGTAAAACTATACATAAATAACAGAATTTTAGCCGCCTTTTAAAATTTTAGTAAAAACAAGATAACAAATCCACAATAGTAATGGTAGCTTAAGTTAACTGAGCGAAAATTAAAACGATAGATAATTTAAAAGGTTTCGATTGGTTTTATAAGGTTACTCCTCGGGTCCAAGTAGCACGCGAGACTACGAATATAGTGGAAGCGGATACTCGAATGAAAAGCCCAATTACGGTGACCTCGGGAGTACTTCTTTCGTCACCTCTAGTGGATCTCCTTATTCAAAAAGCGATTCACTTTTCGTATCTGATTCCAGTACTGACAGGTATTCACCAATTTTATCTTAAGTAATATAAGCAAATAACTGCCAAGAATTTAAATGTCCTAGGTCCTAATTCATGATGTTCAAGATATGCCCGATTTTATCATTCTTTAAAAATGTTTAATAAAACTGTAATAATAAATAACACGCGTGAATATTCTCACGATAAACTACAAAAAATTGTTTTCATCCGATTATATTGCAATGCAATTCGTACATTTGGTATAAAATAACTTGTTTAAAATATGTCTTTGATCACTTGAATCCTTAATACTTAATAACGTCACAAGAAAATTATAGAATCAGTGTTTTCCAATTACATACGATGATTCTAAAACACGAATATCCAGATATTTTCCTATAATATTGTGATATCAGCTACTATTAGATTATTGTTATATTAATAATTTTTAATCTACATATTCGTATAAATGGCACTTTCCTTATTTCATATATTGAAAGCGCATACAGCTTAAACAGCTGTTCAAAAAATTTTTAAGGCAATCGATACATAATAACGATTAACTTATATCGCATAGCGGAGACCCTCGCGCAAGCCTTACGAGTAGCTTCTACAAAAGCAAATTCGGTAGCGAGGCCGTAGTAAACGCTATAAGACCAAGTTCGAGCTCCTCATCTGGGAGTGTCACTTCTTCGGCGCCATTGGAACAAGCCGGCAGTCGGTATATCAACGGTGGAGAGTATCCCCAGGGAAACTCTGCGGGCTATTATGAGAATAACGGTGGAGCCGGCGGTGTCCAACCTGGGGCTTCTTCCGCCAGCGAGTACCCCGGAAGTTACGCGTCTGCTGGTTACAGGGAGCGCGGACCCTCCGAGCACTATCGACAACCGAGCGAATACAGTCAGTCTAGACCCATCTACAGTGGATACTCTGGCGTCGGCGAATATACCCAACTCCGGCCGACGAGCTACAGTCATGGGTAAGCATTTATCTTACGTAGGTCTAACATATTCTGGAAGCACAGATTTTCATTCGAGGAAAATTTATTAATACCATCATTTTGTTCCTGTCGCAACACTATCTAAGTTCTTACTAATAAGTGTGTACGCACGTGAGGTGTAATTAGTATATTTTATAAAAACATTAATATTTATCAATAAAAAGATATAATAATAATTATCAATGAGTATGGAACGTAGATTTACCAATATTTATTCGATACGTACAGTCCAGCAACTGATTTGTCCCATTATGAATTAAAATAAGTCGATTCGACAATATATAAAGGAACTCTTTTATGCGATAAGGAACATTTTAATTCATTCTAACACTGTTAAAATCATGAACGAATATATTACGCAAGTACTGTGGTTAACTTTCAATGATAAGTAAAATAAAATTATAATTAGTAATTATAAAACAGATTTTCCATTACCTGCATATTCCCAGGGTTTTAAGGAAATAAATATTTCAGTTTTTCTACATCTCTAAAATCTTATGTTTTATACTTTCTTAGATACTTCTTAGAATTAATTATTTTGTTTGTTACTTTAAATACGAAACTGGAGTACTATTTATGTAAAAGAACATTACCTAGTACAGGCGAATGAGCGTTTAAATTAGAATACTATGGCTTCGTAAACTTTTACTAACAAATTGTAAATTTCCCGGTTTAATTAATAAACGAATGTGATACAAATGCTTAATTACATATCTTTTTAAGAGAAAGTGATCTGTGTGCACCATTAGGCAATAACATCGGGTAAAAGAAAAAGTTTTCACTACAATAACTAAATAATATCCAACTCCTTGCGTTTAACATTACATTTCTATAAAAGACGTAGATATATGAATGAATAACAATGAAATCATCGATCTAACTTTAAAGACATTATAATGACAGAATCTAAATCCAAGCACTTCGAACCGACTCTTCCTCCGCCGCCCCTTTTTGATTCGCTCACTCTTCCTAAAAACTTACACTCTCGGCATGTAAATATGAAATCGTCCCCAATAGGAACCCTATGGCCTCAGCACTCGTTGGGGGTGAATACCCAAGCGCTCCACACCACCACCTCCATCAGCACCAGCAGCAGCAGCAGCAGAACCACCACCACCACCGCGAATATCCCTACATCTACAAAACCTATGTAACGAGTAGTACCGGAGGGAGTAGTAGTGGTGGACCTTCGAGCAAGTATCAGACAGTCCTCGGCGCTCTTAAGAGTCTCTTCACTGGCGGTGGCAGCGGCGGCTCTGACCCAGCATCCAGCGCCACCCACGTACCGGCCTATTATTCCTCTAATAGCGCAATGCACGCAGCTGCGCATCACGGACCAACTTATTCCCAGTCTGCCCCCACAGGACCTGGTTACTATTTTGCCTCGGGGTAGGTTCGATCGATCCCGAGCTTTCGATACGCTTGCAAAAGCTTCTGTTGTTTGGTATGCACTGACACGAGCAACTGTCGAATGCAAAACGTGCCTGGATAAAAGTTATAGCGTCCCTTCCATTGAGAAGAATGACCTTTTGTCAATATTATCGTTTTACTTATCAAGCATTACAAAATCGAATTTTATCAAAAATACTTTTTATGCATCTGTATGCGCATTGTATAGGTGTGTTACAGCTCGATATAAAATATTTAATTGAGTTAAATACAATTTCATTTAACATATAAATCTTCAGCATAAATAGTTAAATAGATTACTATATTTTTCCAGAATTAAACTTTCTTAAGACATTTTTCGGAATTTTTTATTCTAACACAAATAATGAGATTTCCACTTTACAATTCAAATGCCCGTTTCATGTTTCATGCTAAATGATTAAATTTCGTACTCTAAGTTTATTATCATTATTATTATTATTATTATTATTAAATTTTTATTTTTTTATATTTTAAAAAATTCACGCTTTCATATCAGATAATATTTATTCGAATTACTATCGACTTTCGTTTCTTATAATTTTTTGCTAAAAATATATTTTGTGATGAATATTAAATTTGGTATGTCTATCGACTGTTTTTTTCATTCATTAACAATTACACATATATCTTAGTAAAATCTTTATGTAATTATATTCATTATAAAATATGTAGAAATAATTTTGTATTATGATTATTGTTTACAAGTAGTTTCATAATACTGTATAGTAACTTCTCGATGAAAATCGTCAGTGAAAACATTTAATTTAAAATTTGATTTACGTAAATATACTAGGTATCTTTGATAATTAAGAAAATCTCATTAAATAATCAAATAATTCTTTAGTAAGATTATTTATAAAATAGAATTAAAAGAAAAATAACTGTTATTTTTTAAGTGAAGTATTAATTAGTAATAATTTAACGTAGTTAATTGATTTGAGCGTTATTCTTAAAATTACTGAGAATATATGATTTAATTGTAGAAATTGTCTCATAATCAAATATCTAAACAAAAATTTACTACTAACTGTAATAATGTACTCAGGGTTCAAGTTCAAAATAAAGCACTTTAATAAAATGACATATTGTGGTTGATGAAGAATTCGTTTGGATGTTAACACGAAACTTCGTATTCTCTAGTCCTGGAGTTTCTGCCTCTGGTTCACTCTATTCCAAGAGCTACCCGACAATGCGCTTCATGTCAAGCGGCACCAACGCCAGCAACAAAATTATTGTAATTAGAGACAATGGCAGTACTCATTCATCGAGTTACTCGAATAACGGAGGTTCAATCACTGGCGCATCCTCGAGCTACCCAGCGAAGAGTAAAATCTCCAACTTCGCTCCATCCAACACGGGATATGCATATGTCGCGGGCTCGCCAAGTGTCCTGGTTAGTTAATAAAACAGTTGATTCTTTGTGAAGTTTTATGGCTAATAAAGCTCGATGATACCATAGAAACAGGTCAATATCATCAATGCAATGCAATTTTTCAAAGCTGACTTAACATATTTTGTAAGAAGTGATATTTCGCATTATTAAAACATTCATATTACAATACTTATTATTTATTTAATCTAAATTCGGCAACTATGAATAGGATTTTTACATCAGTATTTAACAGTGGAGAATGAGAAAACGTAAATTTATTGATTAGTATTTGTGGCAGGTGATGCCGATTTTAAATATCGAAGAAAACAAATATAAAGCATAAGTTAAATGGAAAACTTAGCTTGCGAAAAATAATTTACAAAACGTATCCTAAAAGCTAGTCCAAAATAAATTATGACATAAATTACAAAATAAATTATTATAATCCAACGACAATTAAATTAATTTGTGAAAGGAAAATAAGTTATCGCGTAACTTATAATTACATATTTTTAATAATTATGTATAAATAGCAGGGTTATACAAGTGGCTCAAGTAGCGGATATCCTGGCGGATACTCAAACGGTGCAAGTTTCACAGGTAGTCACGGAGGCAGTACCTTCCTCGGATACTCGGCTTAATGCGTAACGCTGGATGACGGGCGTTGTGTTGTCCTGGCATGGAAGTATTCCCGTGCACTGCTGAGTTAAAAACGTGCAATTTAAAGCAGGAGTACAATATAGTATAGGGGGAAAAAAAAATTGCCTCGAACAAAATTATTGATGACTTGTTTGACACACGCAATTTGTTGCCTTGCCTTTTCTTAACGAATTCCTTTGATTTTATTTCTTTAAATAATGTATAAAATGGTTTATTTCTCTTTTGTGATTCTTTAAATTATTTTATTATCATTGAGATTTTATTACAAATTTAACTAAAATCAAGAGAATTTATAGTATTATTTATATAATGTATTTCAATGCTTATTATTTTTTTTGTCTATTTTTATTTATTTATTTATATATATATATATAATTAACGTTTAAAGTATTCGAATGGAATGGTCAAAATATATATTGGTAAATATCACATTAATGAAAAAAACGATTGTGATAGAATATCTGACGAAACACTTAAAATAATTTCTATACATCTTTCTAAATACTCGCACGAATACAGTTTGTAGTTATATAGAACTAAGCTTGCATAGAACTGTGCGGTAAAAAGCTAAAAGTTATTAAGCAGCTGTTTATAAGAGATGCGCTAGAAAAGAAATTGAAGTCGAAATCGTAAAGTACCTGAGTCTTTTGCTTTACGCGAGGGGAAAATACGTGTATTTCCATAATGGAACAAACAAAAATAGTAACATGCACATAGATAAAAAAAATTAATTAATACAAAAATTAAATTATATTAGTACGATATAAACTTTTTTTGTTAAGATCTCTATCAATTTTAAGATATTTGTTTTTAGCGCGACATGTAATTGACACGGAAATGTTATTTAAAGAATTTGGATATTATAATTTAAATATTCATAAATAATAGGAAACTGAGTTGATGCATTATACTTAACTCAATGAGTAATCTATTTTCAATTTTTTATAATATTTTATTCAAGATGTAACAAAAAAAATTATATTTTTATACACTGATCTAAATTTTACAGAAGTGAATCGGGTATCTTATCGATACATGCTGTGCTTAAATTTGTGAATATTTATTAAAATGTATTCGTAATATAATGCCTATCTAGCTATATTTTCTAGGCAGTTGTGTTTGTATTGATTTTGTTAATAAAAATATTTTAATTGACAAAGAGTGCATATATTATTTATGAAAAAGAAATTTAACGTTAAATTTTTTAATTTATTTTCTCAATTTATTTCCTTTCGGCCAGAAGATGGAGGAGTGCGCATTATTTTTGGTTTTGCTAAAAAAACAGCTTCTTCATTGTCTTGAAATTTTATTCCGCCTTTACTAATACCCATTGACTTGTTGAAAGAATTACTAAAATATATATTAAAATTAATTATTTGATTTATCTGTAAAACGTATCGTGTATAAATAATTAAATTAATAAATTTATAAATGAAAAACTTTTTAAAATAATGTTTATTTAATTTGTACTTAAATATAAAATATTTTTAACTGATTTGATTGAAATTAGTTTGCCCAAATGTTGTACAATTATTTCTTTTGAATATAAACGTTTATTTGTTATATTCAAAAATAATAATTTATAATGTAATATAACATTAATCATTATTTACGTATCTGTGATTTAAAAGTAAGAAATGAATAAAATCCAATCATATTAAAATAAAATTATTCAAATAAGTATTTACATAATGGATAAGTTTATTTATATTTCAGTTATATATCAATATAGTTTTTTAGAATCCAAAGAATTATAATTTAATTATTTTAAAATATACATAAATACTCACAATTCTTCTGTAGTACTGTTTTTCGTAGATACTACCAACAGAAAATTAGTAGTTAAAAATCATTTGTTCTCATTAAAATATGGAATTATGTTAAATTGTTACATACTTTCTGTTTTACAATCATTGAATTGAGTTCTACTTGGATCAATAATCTTTGAGACATTTAATTCTACCTTCCTACTCTGTCTAAAACATGAAATATATAATAATTATTAAAAGCTAGAAAATGATAAAAAAAAATAAAGTAACTATTTTAGAACTTTTTTATAGCCGTTATTTTATTGCTAAAATTCATGTTTAATTCATTTAATTATATTGATAGAAAAAAATTTTTCTTTATTTTATAATTTTTTATAAATCATTTATAAAAACTGTTTAAAAGAAAATTGTTGATAAATAATTTTTTTTGTTATTTCATTTTCTTGCATTAATTACATTAATTAATTTAAAATATGAAGTCTTATTTTAAAAAGTCAGTAAATGAAGTAAATAAACTTAAATGAACATAAAACAAAATGAAAAAATAATTAATATAACATAAAAATTATAAATTATATATATAATTAAAAAAATACATAATTTAATAAATTATATATAATTAAAATATATTATTATATATAATTATGAAACATAAATTATAAAAAAAATACCTGATGCCTAGTATCTGAACAAATATCCTGTAGCTAATCGAAGATAGACACTATAATTTCTTTTTTTAGTATTGAATTTCGTTGATTAGATTATTTCGTATTTTATTAAGTAATGCCTACAGATTACTTAAATTAAAAATAAATTTAATCTATTCATAATTTAATTTATATTTTAAAATTAGTATAAATTACAAAAATTATAATGAAAATAAATTAATCTTTTTATTAAAAATTAATCTAAATAGAATTATGCAATATTTACTAACTTAGATAAATAATTAACTATAGGTTTAGTAGATATGTTTAATATCTTTTTAGTAGAGTGATCTTTTGGCTGTAAAATAAAAGTTGGAATAGAATAACATGTATCCAATAAATTTTCTCCCTGCAATTCTCCTACAGGAACTTCAAGAGGATCATTTTCATCTAGTTCTTTTTCTAAAACATTAAATATATCCTGTAAAAGAAATATTAAATTTAATTTCGTAAAAAAAAATTTATTCGTTAAATAAAACTGTTAACTTACATCATCTTCATCTGGAAATTCGTCGTCATCTGATAAGCTTTCATTACATTCCCTCTTATGGATTTTTAAAGTATGTAAAATATTTCTTCTTTAATAAAAATATAAAAAATAAAAATAAATATAGATAATTTATTTATAAACTATTTTTTACAATAAATTGAAGTACAGTTTAATATTAAAAATTTACCTTAATTCTTCATCACTTTCCATACAATAATATTCCAAAATTTCTGTAAGATGTAATTTTTTAGCCTCCTTATTTATTTCATTATTTAATAAAAAATTTTGTAATGCACCGTTTATATATGGCAATATCTAAATATAAAAACAAAAACAATATTGACAAAATTTTAAGACATTATTTATGTATAATGTAATACATACTGATACACAATCTGTCGATAATAAGGTTATCATTGTTGAAACTAATAATGATGCAATTAATGATGCTCTAGACCGTGCAGAGCTATGCAGAGAAAGATTCATTAATAAAGCACAGGAATATTCTAATCTATAGGCTCTCACTTTGAAATTTTCAGTATTTAAATGATAGATTAACCACTCAACCAAATTGACTTCAATCATATAATTTCTCTCCTGTTTTCGTAAAGACATTTTTTGAAGAGTAGCTAAAAGCATATCAAGGGTAATGGGATCATTCGCCATATTACTACAATTATCTAAATATACAATAATCTGTAAGTAAAATTAATTTTAATTTAATAAAATGAATAACTTGAATATATAAAAAATGAGTAAAACTTTTTAATCTAGATATACAAAAAATATGTTTACTCTAAAATAATATAATAAAAATATTCTTACAGTGTTTAATGCTATTGGATTAGAGGATAAGTAAATTCTACCACAACTCAATGATGCTAAAGTATTTAAAAATCGCGAAGTTGTTTGCTGCATAATATTTATAGAAGTTGTTGAATTAATTGGTTGCAATAAATAAAGTAAAATATTATTCTCGTTAATATCTAATATATTTTCTTGTAATTCTAATAAATCCTTATTAGTATATTCATGAATAATATCATCTCGTTGCTTCGGTTGATTTAACGTAAGCTTCTAAAAAATTATATCATTTGTTAATAAAAATGTTATATGATCTTAATAATAATTTATATAATAGTCTGTTCAATTTTATTTATTTAAAAATCTATAAAAATATCTATAAAATCAGTGAATGGACTATTTTATGGATATACATTTTATGGAATTTACTTGACGTAATGCTTGCAGTAATAGTAATTTAATTTTAATGTCACCAAATTTTAAATGGAGTTTTATTTTCTTATAGTCCAATAATTTAGGAAATAGTGAAATATTATTTAGAATATTTTTGTTGTCAGTATCTACATCCTGTAAAACAAATTTTTATGACAATAATTGAAAAATATTATTGTTCAAGAAAAAATTGTTTTAATGTTGTCACATACCTCTGAATTAGAATGTGTATTTCTATTGACTCTATTAGGAAATATTTTCAAACAAGCTTGTAAAATCATATCTAAATGAACGGGTTGACCTTGCACAGAATTTTCTAAAGAAACAGTCAGAATTTCAGCAATCTCATTTATTTTCAAATAATCCTCGTGAAGTTTGTAAAAATGAAATTTTAATTTTTGATAGTGCTTGTGAAGATTGAACAAACGCAATTTTATTATATTAAGCTCATCATTATTTATGGAGGGTTTGTCAGCAGTGACAATACTAGAAGTTACTACATTTGATATATGACATGGTTCACTCATTAATGCACTGTCAGTTTCAATAGCGCTTATAAGTGTTTGGGTACTCTTGCTTAAATTAAAATAATTTATTAATACAATCAAATATAATGAATAGCACAATTCAAACATTTTTATTTGTCAAATTGTGTTTTTTTAAATTTAATTAATATATATTTTATTAAAAAATTTTATAACTTTAAATTTAAATTTAAACCTACTTTGTACTTAAATTGTCATCTTCAGTTCTATTGGCGTAATGTACAGCCCAATCTTCTATTTGATTATTTTTAATAGCTGAATAAATAATTTGATCTTTCGATATTGACTTGCTCTTACATTTAGTAAATTTATTTACGTGTTTAATCGCATTATCAGAAAAATTATTACTCGTTAATGGCAGAGTTCTTATTACAGGTACATCTCTACATTTATTTACATTTGTAGATAAAAGATGGCGAAAGACTTGTAATTGTTGTTTGTATAAAAGACTCTCGTTCTAAACATGACAAATAGAAATATTCATATATACCAACAAAAAAGTGTGTAAATATAAAGTGATAATTCTTTCCCATCTATTATTTTTACCTGAAAAAATGCCTGTACAAATTTTTCTATTTCTATAGTTAGTTGTTCGAGCCAATCAATGCTAAATATATGACTCATAGATTCATCTTCTTCTGGATTAACAATATTTGGTAAAGTAAAGAGTGTCATAAATGAGCTATCTTTCAATTCCATTATCAATTTTTGTCCATCGATAGATTTTATAAAATATTCCAATTGCTTCATATTATCAACTGCTATGTTATCTTGTTCATCATCAAACTCCTGTATTAAAAAAAATTAAATTTATTTTAAGATATTAGTAAGTAAATTAAATAATAATTTATTGATATTACAATACCTTTTCATTGCTAATTGTTATATATTTATCAACAAAATTCTCCAAAATTTGGGACACTTTACTTGAGCAATTGGAAACTATAGATTTTTAAAAGTGAAATAGTCATAAAATAAGGTATGATCTTTAAATTATTATTATTATATATTTATATTTAAATACTACAGTAAACAATGAATTAATAAATGACAGTTTTTATATTATATTAATATAAAATTTAATTTATAAGTTACTAATTTTACATAAAATAAAAGCATAATTTCTTGTTGAACCTAATTTATTTAAATTTTACTGAAAAAATTTTTCATACCACAATTGATATTCTGATGCAGTTGAACAATGCGTATTGGTAAAATAGCATAATGAACTCTCAATTTTAATGTCATTATTTTATATTCAATGGATTCTTTCAAGTCTAATGGAAATGATGAATTCCAGATCTATAATAAAATAATATTTAAAATTATTGCAATATTAATATCTTGGTAAAAATAAATAATATATACTTTAAAGAATTTCTGCCAATTTCCAGATAAATATTCTGCCATAATTTTATTACAATTTTGCGAGGCCATTCCACTTGTTATAAAATATTAATTCTTAACATTTATTATTGAATTAATAATTACTTTATTACTGGTACAATGTGAAAAACAAAAAATATAACTACAATATATTTTTTGTGGTTATTTTTTATTTAAAAAGAATTAAGTAAAGAAGATAAATATAGAAAATGTACAAATATAAGATATATTTAAAAAAAAATTATGTACTAGAATATACTTGTTCAATATCAAATTTATATCATTTTCAATGAAAACATTAATTATAATTAATCTTTCGAATAAATTATATAATCATCAATTAATTAATACAATTAAAATAATTATGAAATGCAATGCATAAAATATTCTATTATGTAAAGATATATTTAATTAATCTTCTGTGTTTAACTCTGAATTTTCCGGCGCTTTTATTACATGTGCACAACAAAAACTTGTACGATGATTCATTATTTTCCTTTATATTTCAAATTAGAAAATCAATAAGAAAAGAAAATCAATAATTAATGAAAGTAGAACAGCATCCAAGTAATTCCAAATAATTCTTTAATATTAATATTAGTATTAAAAATCAAATTGAAATTATAATGTTTTATAATTTTATGCGCATATTAAAAGTAATTAATATAGCATTTAAATAATGTATATTATAAATTGTAGCGTAAAATATTTTCTTACTACGTATTCTTACGCAAAGTTTAAAAGACCAAGTACTCAAAAAAGTATTAATTATTAAACTAATTATTTCCGATAAACGAGATAAGAACAAACATTAAAATAAATTGTTAAATTGCAGAGCAAATTTTTTTTTCTAAATCGATTTGTCATTTGATTCAGAAAAAATCCTTAAACATGTGATGACACTGTCGTCTGCGAGACCACACAACAATACACAACGCAACCACTACTCATGCAAATACATAAGAAATACAATTAGCCTATAGATAGCGCAACGTTCGCTTTATCTCTCAATGCCAAATAGCCAAATGTGATATTATTACTAATATGTTTGGAATAAAAATTTTCAAACAAAATGTCTCCTGTCCGCAACATTTGATCTTCGTAAATTAAGCCGTACCCATCATTCGACCATAAATAAAATGTGAAGGAAATAAATGCTTATAAGAAAGTATCCCGATCGATCCTTTTAAGGAATCTCCCATGGAAGGAACATACTCGAGCAACCGCTGGTGAACGAGAGCTAATTTGAGTAACCTGGAAAAAGAAGAAGCGCTCTCTGTATTTTCTCTATTCGTCCCCGTTCTCACGTACCTCCTAATTAAATTTTTCTCTCTAAATACATCGCGCAAAAAGAAACGGACAACCTACATATTATATTCTGGGTCTTTTCACGCTTTCCGCTCTCCGCTCGCCGCTCTCCGTACAAAACTACAATCTGAAAATTGAGTTGCTCGCACTATTCATCCTTTCAAGCGAGTGTGCGAGCGAACACGTATCCTAGTGTAACCTCAGCACACGAAGGTTCTCGAGATCTGTCCCTCCCGTCTGTCAGAATAAAAAACACCAACACCAATCCGACTCCATCTCCACATGGAAACGTTAAACATTATTACTTTAAGACAGTAATTCGGTAAACACGGGGGCGACTTACGGGGACGACCCCGGGATCCTCGTGTGCGAAGAGATAATGATTCAAGTTCCGATTTTCGTTGCGCACTTGGAGGTCGAACTCTGACAGAACTTAAGGGCAAGTATCAACCTGCGTTATATAAGTCCAAGTAAAAGCGCGCGTAAAAGACCGCTGCTGCGGTCCAAATTAATCCTGTGTGTGACGTGCGTGACGTGCGTACTTGCGCGCCCCCCTGCACGTATGCGCTCGCGGTCGTGCATGTGTGTGTATGCGTGCAACATGGCGAAAAACTGCAATACCGTGACTGATGGGTGATCGAGTTACGGCGAGTTTGCTCGTTGCTCGGCGGCAACCTTGTCGCCCTCCGCCTCCTGAATGACCTCGAGGTATCGTTCTCGAGGCCTCTTTGGGGGCAGACCATCTCCATCAAAGTGGATACTTACGAGATAAGGGAAATAACAACTCATACGTGCTAGTTTGCACGTAAGTAGCGAGCGCGCCGCAAAATGTCTACGAGATCGCAGCTAACCAAGGATTTAAACGGTGATTCTCACTTTAGCATTCCTTGTTTCTGCTCGTAGATCGCACGCGACTTTCGAAACTAAGCACCTTCTTGAACATCTCGAACTCGATTTTATCAACCTCGCTGCCCCACCCCCTTCCTTACACAATAATACTGTCTACTGAGTTGTGTGTTTCGTCTTTGTCTTTTTCTTTATTGCCGGTATTGACGTGCAACTGTGCATGCACATCAACTATTTGCTTGGCTTATTTCTCTCTGACTATTCTTAATTTCTTGTTCTCAGTTTTATTTTTTTAAATCAAATAAGATCCACATGTAAAAAGCCATGATTTAAATTGTGTCAAGAATTTGGTAGTATTGAATATTAAAACAGGATTATTACCAATATATGATGATTCATGTGTGAATTATTTACTTTTCGTACAAAGAACATTTTTTTACCTGCTTATTGAATATTGATGATAAAATCTTACATTCATTTTATATCTGTCCTTTGTATCCCATAAGTAATACTAACACAATAATAGCAATGTATATACATAACTGTTTTTAATCTATTTAATGAATATAATTATTGTAATATAATTTTATATTTTAATATCCTATATTTACCTATTTTTTCTACCGTATTCTACCATTGGTTCATAGAATAGAGCAATAAATTAATGTCATTAAAGTATTTACTGCTGTCAGGAAGAATAATAAATAGTTTTATTAATGAAATAATATATTATATATCACAGATGTAAAATATTCAGTCATATTTAATTTATGATTAAGCTCTAAAAGTTATTAAAATATTTTTTATTTGTAGAGTTTTTTCTTTTTTTTAATTATAGTCTTTAATTAAATACTTAATAATTAACCAACAATAATTGATTTGTTTGACATATTTAATAATTTATTTTATAATTTTTATACATATACCAAAAAAATGTATTTTTTATGTTGGGTAAAAATGAAATTTTTATTGTTCATAGTATTAATTTCTAAAATAAAATTACAATCTTTTTATTAATGAATATTATTATTAGTTAGCAATATAGTTTAATAGTATAATATATTGCCATACTTCTATAATAAAAGTTTACATTAAACTTTTTTACTTTATTTCAAATTTTTCGTTAAAAAGTTGTTTAAAGTGTATTAGATAAGAAACTTTTATAATAATAAAATATGCTTAAATTAAAGTTATATATAAGTGAGCTATTTGCAATTAATGTTTTATATAAAAAAAAGTATTTTGTTGCTTTATAGTATATTATAACATAATACAAAATATTTTATGTCAAACTACAATTGATTTATAAATTTATATTTTCAATTATGGTAATAATACATTTTTAATATTTACTATATAATGTATCAGATAATTTACAATATTTAATGTTTACAGAGTCCGTAAAGTCATTATTAGGAAAGCATGTGAAAATATTATTGAAAAATGTTGTTAAACTAGAAACAAAACCAGATAAGCTTGAAAATAGAGTTTTAGTAAGTACTATTTTTGTTAATACTACGATTAAAAAGGGTAAATGTTAATATTTATATCACAATTTATTTTTAGGTATTTTCACCATGTCGGCTCTTCCTTTTAACAGCAAAAGTGCCTACAAGGGTAAATTGACTCAATTATTTATTTACATTTCACTTTATTCAAAATAAATATTTATTTTTATTTTCATTCCTTTTTCAGATTGATTGTCATTTTCATTATTTGGAAATATCATCAGTCGAATCCAAAAGAGCCAATCAACTATCATTAACAGTTGGCGAAAGAATATACAACTTTGTTACTATGGGTTTAGGAAGTGTGGACACATCAGAGGTAGATGCAATGATTGAAGCACTTCACACAGCTATTCGAAACATATTTCCTACAGTACCTTTAAAGTAAATATTTAAAGAATACAAAAATGTATTAAAAATGCCAAAGTATAAAACAAACAGAGCAATTTAAATTTGAAATTATTCGTGTACATTGTAGAAATACTTATTTTTACCATTTTATAACATTCCTATAATGAGTTAACTAAAATATTTGAATTTATTTGATTGTGTGTGTGTGTGTGTGTGTGTGTGTGTGTGTGTACATTTGAAAGTATTTACAATAAACTAAAATATTTAAGTTATTATTATATTATAAAAATTTATTTCAAATAAATTGAGTTATATACAATGTAATAATCTTTATTTTCAAAGAAAGTTATAACTTAAATAAAAACATAATAAATAACTATTAATTTCTATATTTTAATATAACCAACCACTTTTAAATAATATAAAATAAATTTATTAACAGTTTTAAATAATTATCGATGATTATTAAAATTATTCGTTTGCTTTATACTTCTTAATAAGGAAAATTATTTTTACTTACAGTTATTTAATTTCTCATGTTCTCAATTTTAGTTACGTAATCAGAAAAATCGACGTAATACCTGTAAGCAGATTACAAAGCATACGAGGTAGCGATTTAGCAAGAAGTACAGAAGCAACTCGACATACAGGTCCTTGTGGTGGCTTTTCTACTCAATATGCTTGCATGTGTGATTTGCATAATGTACCTTACAGAGAAGAAGTTGCCTGGGTATATATATATATATATATGTATATATATATATTTACTTTATACAAGTATTTTTAATAATATATTATATCCAATTTTTCATTGGTTTAGGATGTTGATACAATATATTTGTCACATGATACCAGAGAATTAGATCTAAGAGATTTTGATCATTTAGACCAAAAAGATTTAGTACCAATTATATCAGCTTTAGAGTATAATACATGGTTTACAAAATTATGCATCTCTCACCTTAAACTTAACCATGAACCTTTGGATAGACTATTACATGTATTGAAAAGATCTCTTTCAATTCAAGAAATTTACTTAGACAATATCGGAGTTAAATGGTATATTTTATCTTATTCTTTACTTTATATAATAAATGAAGTTTCCTATCTTTATTAAATAATAATATTTCAGGGATTTTGCACATAAATTGTCTTTAGCTTTAATTGCTAATACAAATGCTGTGCTACATACTATAGACTTATCCAGCAATACTATCGAAGATAAGGGAGCTTCAAGCTTATGTGGTGCAATAGCTAAATTAACACAAGGTATTGCATAATTTTAAATGATAAAAATAAAATTTTTGATTATTAAGTAATTTCAAATTGTGATAAATGGATAATAAATGAATAAATGTAGAAGTTAATATTTTCAATTTATGTTGAAACTCAGTATATAAATAAGATTTGAAATATATTTTCTTTATTTATTATAATTCCAGGTACTCCTCACACAACTGGACCACTGGGAAAATTACCAAAGGGTTTGCAAAAATTGAACTTGGCACGATGCGGTTTAACAGGAAAAGGCGTAGGTCAAATAGCGCATGCTTTAAGTTTAAATCGAATTATGCCTACGAGTTTGCAATATTTAAACCTTGCTGAAAATACCTTAAAAGATGATATAAATGTAAGTTATTTTATACTTAAATATATAATGTATAACAATTGAAAATAATATTTATATTTTTTAGAATTTGTGCAGTTTCTTAGCTCAGCCTAATGGAATTACTCATTTAGATCTAAGTGGCACTGAAACAACATTAGAATGCGTTAGTATTGTAAATAAATTATTTATAATTTGATTTATAATCAATATTCAAGGAAATTGAAAAGTATTGAAAATGTAATGTCATTTTTATTTGTTTTAAATATAATTATTACTTGATCTGAAATAATTTTAATTAATTATTTAGTATGTAATTATATAGAATTATATTATAGTATTACCTCTGAGTACATAATTGCTTAAAATAATTGTTTATTGAAATTTTTTTCAGCTTTTTGGTGCTTTATTACGGGGTTGCGCAACGAATCTAGTCCACTTAAACGTCGCTCGCAACTCATTCTCAAGCAAAAAAACCAAAGAAATTCCTCCAAGTTTCAAACAATTTTTTACAGCCTCCAAGGTTCAAACAATTTTTTACAGCCACTCGTTCCCTTAAGTACTTAAACATCTCGTTCTGTAAGCTCCCCCTTGAGGCACTTAAACATCTATTACTAGGTTTGGCTTGCAATGAAAGTACAGTGGGCTTGGAACTTGATATGAGTGGCAATAATCTTGGCTCAATGGGTGCTCATGTACTCGAATCCTGTATCCATGGTGTTAGATGCATCGCTTCTCTTGATATCTCTGACAGTAGTAAGTTTAATGTTAATTACTTTTATATGTATGCACAAAAGAATAATATAAATTATTTTCTCATATTTTAAAAACGGGCAGACTTGTTTATGATCAAATTTACATCGACAAGTTGGTTATGTATGCAAACTTTATAAATACAAATCAAACTTAAAATTTATAATGTATTTTTTAATAAAACATAACAATTAGAAATTGGCCAATCAACGTCAATTACATTAAATTATTCTTTTTATTTCAATTTTATTTCAACAGACATGGACGTTGATTTAGCACAAGTAATCACTGCTATTGGAAAAAATAAATCTATTAAACAAGTGTATATGGGTCGAAATACTCTTGGTATGAAGAGCAAACATATAGCCGTTGTAATGGACTCCCTTGTACAAATGCTCCAGGAAGAAGACTGTGTATTGCAGGCATTACATCTACCTGATTCTCGACTTAAAGCTGATCTGTATAATCTCATTAACGCCCTCGGCAGCAACGCCTGTTTACGTACACTAGACATCTGTGGCAATCAAATTGGTGACCCAGGCGCTAGACTGCTTGCCAAAGCCCTGCAAATCAACAATCATTTAAAAACTATTGTATACGATAGAAATAATATTAGTTTACAAGGTTATGCTGACATTGTTCATGCATTAGAAAGGTAAACTAATTCCTCGATTTCTTAATTTTCATCTTAATTTTTACAATTCAACAATTATTTTTTAATGCAAATAAACTATAAATTTAATACAAATATAGAAGGTTTATTTTTATAAAAACGTATATCTGAAATATATTATCCTAACATTTTCAATAACATACTACTCACTCTCTCAGAAATTACAGCGTTAGGCATATGCCATGTCCAATTCATGACCTACAACCATGCATGAAAGCTTCCGCAGAGAAAACCGAGCAACTAACAAAAAAGATTCAAGATTTGCTACAACGTAATGTTGCGCCATGTCGAAATAGTCACGGGCAAGCATTCCGACTTCAACAGGGTTTTCTACTCAGCTCCACTCAACACATGGTTGACCGTCTTGTCGTACAAACACAGGATACAATCAAAGCAATTGCTGCTGAAATCTGTAATGCTAATAATGATATCAATTATGCAACGGGATTGATTCGAGACGCGGATAATTCAAAACAGTTACTACCACGGCTGCACGAGGTGCTACAGAGACGAGACGAGAATAATCCTGTGGAAACTAAGCTTGCAGAAACAGCAAATCAAATTCATAAAGTTGTGTCTACCTATCTACAGGTAAGTTTATCATTATTTTTGTTTTAACTTAAAATGCGTATGAATAAAGACATAATTAGGAAAGTTTAGTAAATATTTCAAATCGAATATGAAAACATTTATTTAAATTAATATTTTAATATTCAATTCTTACAACTTAGCAAAAAAGATTTAAAAAAACATGAGAACTAATTTAATAACCGATAGATACTTTTTTTAACACAATTATCGCATTCTAAACAATTTATTTAAATAAAATAACGTTTTTAATTATTTCAATAATATTGTTAGACGACAACTGACCTTCAAAGTTAATAATTTAATTAATCGCTTATGCTATATTAATTAATTCTATAATCAATTGATTGACTTATTAAACTTTTAAGAAGGTCATTTAAAACAAAATTACAATATTTACTAAACATCGACAAACATAATTCTAAAGATTTTTCAAAAAGTTGCTTATAAATATCGCACGTATTTTTGTATTATTAGTTTAAACATCTTTATATTACAATAAAACAATTTAATGATTTCAATTTTATTGCACGTAAAATAATTTATGACTAAATTAGGAAACCTATTAAACTAGATGATTCGCGTGTTATTATTTTATAATTTCAATGTAATTTACAAATAATTTATTTAGTAAATATTTCACAATTGGTTACTTATATAGATGAATAAAGGCGATAATATATCATTTAACAAAAAATTCATTATCGCCTTCAATTTTAAATTACGCAAAAGAACAAATTTTTATATTTAAATGTAGATTAAGTTTTATTTAATTAAAAGCACAAACTTATTATTTATAGGATTCCTTAGATACAATGCTTAAATGTGCTAGTGAACAATGCCCTACAATTCTGGAACAAACTGTTGTTAATAGAGATGATGATTATGATGATAACGAATCGCTAACTTTAGAAAAACACCTTCGAAATTCCTGTAAAGAAAAAAATAAATTGACATTAGATTTTATACACAGTACTATTACTGAACAAGCTGGAGCAGACATCATAAATAGAGTAAAGTAAGTAACTAAATTATCAAAAGTTTAAAAACTATTGTTAAATATATATATCAGATTTGTCATATTTATCTATTTAAATAAATCATTTATTTTTCTATTTTATTTTTATAGCTTATTATGTTATTTTACAAATTTTCTAGTTTAAAATATTTTGTTTACTTAAGCAAATATCTCATAAATCCTAAATTTAAATCACACATAAATTATTAACAATATAATCTGTAATATAAAATTGTAATGCATAAATTACCGATTATAAAAAAGTTACTTATTTATACATTTTAACAAATGTTATCTTATTAATAATATAAAATAATATATTAGAAAAAAAAGAATAATTTATTGAGAGAGAAATTTTGTTTACAAATTATCTAAATTAGAAAAATAAGTGCAACAATCTATTTCACACATAAAGTTTATCACGTTTACTTGAAAATATATATTTACAAGACACTTTAAATAGTCTCATTATATTTTTAATTATATAATTTGATAAGATCATTTTTACTGTTTTTTTTTCAACTGTCCAGATATTTTTATAAATATGCATGGTACAGAAAATCAAATTTCCTAAAAACTTTAAATCACGTGCTGAGCAGGAAGAAGGTCTCATTATTGTAAATTTCAAAAACAATTTATCCATTATAAAACTTTTAATCGCAAAAGTTGTGTATAAAAAAAAAATATTTTATGAAAATATAAGAAAAATTCCTAATGAAAAAAACTAAAAGAAAATCATTCGATTGCCCTCGCAGCATTCGATGAAAAAAATCGACATGCCGTATATATTAATCGATTAAATTTGTATTTCGTTGCTTGTTAGCGAGCTGAATCTCGTTGTCGCCGCGCATATCTCGGATCGCATCACGGACCAAGTAATCGAGTCCCTTTCTACGAGCTACAAGTCGCTTATAGGCGAGTGTGAGATCCGTACCCGTAGTAGTACACCAGACGTTCTGCGCCCGAGCGCCGGCTCAACGAGCAGCACTGGTGGTAGTGTAATAGGTGTGGGGACGGGCGACATGTCACTCAGTCTTTCCACGGGGACACCAGTCGTTGAGCGAATAAGCCTCGCAATGGACGAGGAGGACGACCGGCATTCCGACGAGCGCTCCCTCCTTATCGCCGGGGACAGCGATAATCGCGCCCTACTGGGCAAAGCTATGGTACGACTCTCAGCCGAAGATGAATCGCCGCTGGTAAGTTTTGCACTTATGAAATGTAAATGTGCATATGTATCCGTGTAATATGCCAAGCTTGTGGTGAATGACAAGGGTATGCACCGTAAATACTGATATTGCACAAATACATATCCTTTCTTTGATTTATCTTGCAGAATATTTTGAAAATTATTTTAAAATGATCGTTGGATATATTTTTCAACATTTTTAGAAAATTTTTAATAATACCTTCTTCGATGTTTTTTTTATTTAACAAGCTAAATCTAATACAGGTATTTATTTGTATACCGTCTATTAAAAATGTACAAATATTATTTAAATAATGCAAAGCCTTGATTTTTAACTACAAAATATTTTATCTATTCTATTATTTATTACGTCATTTGCTATCTTCTAATTATCTATTATTATAAAGTATAAATTTTTATAATTTATTTTTTCAATTATTACACTTTATTTAATACTTTTTTTTGTATCCTTGTTTAAAATTTAAAAAAATTTGTAAATAATTCTTCAGTATATATTTTTAATAAATAAAAATTACGATTGATTCAATCGAAATCAGTGCAATAGTTTTCGACAACAACCAATGATACTGTTATAATAATATTTCTTCGGGTCAAATATGTTTCATATTTTAATTTAAACATATTTTAAAGTAAAATATATTTTTAATCGACTAAAATATCATTAACAACTATAAATCCTCTCTATTTTTTTCTACATAAAAATCTTATGTTTATGACATATTTACTTTTAATAAGTTCAATAAAATCATAGTACAGTCAAAAATAAATTCAATATCATTGTTGAATCTACGATACAATGAATCAGATCTGAAATTGTTTATTTTAGGATTACGTTGATTTCTCTTAATGGAAAATGAGTATCTCGAGCGTGACGATTAGAAAACATGTAAGGTTTTAAGACTATACAGCATCACCGATATGCAACAATTTTACTTTTACTTGAATGACTGACATTTTCTTTATTTTACAAAATTTATAACATTTAGTTTGTACATTGATTAACAATTGTTATTACTTTGAATGATGATTTAACGACATTTATATAATCGAAAAATGAATTATTTTCTTATTTTTATTAAGGAATTTACATTTTAGTTAAATAAACTATATATTAATTATTTAATCGTATTCTTTTTACACATTATAATTATTTTATTTTTGAGAAAAATGATATACACATATATATGTTTATTAACGGGTAACATGGTACTAACACATTGGCTGACTCATTCTGCTTTTCCTTACCGCATTACTTGCAGTTGGAGTACTTGAATCTTGTAAGTATAATTTCTTAACGACTATTCATTAAATATTTAAACTTAATAAAAATATATTATAAATAATAATTGTAATAATCATTTCAACAGGCAACGCCGCATTTGTCGAACAAACGAAAGAGTTTGCATGGAAGAAAGCTACGACCTAAATCTGTCGTGGATTCTGTTGAAGGCTTATCCGCCGATGACATTCCAGATCTTTTGCCGTCGTCCTCGTCTTCCTTACCAAAAGGCCAACAAGGTCAAGAAGGTAATTGATAAAAAATATTTATTTATAACAATATTTTTGTAAAGAGATTTCATTGGTATTTATTTCCAAAAAAATATGAAATTAATTCAATAAGAAAAAAAAATTAACAATTTATTCATTTAATAAAAACTTTCTATACTCCTTACGTTATAAAAAAAAAAGAACTAAAATACACGTGCAATTAATTGTTGACTTAATTCCTTTATTACTTCTAATTTTTCCAAGTTTTTCATGTGTAAAAGTTAATCAAAAGCGAAAACAATGTACTTCATCTTTTTCATTATAGGAACATCCGAGAACGAGCATTCCCTGACCGAATCACTAGACTCTGTCTCAGAACTACCATCGAATGCGGGCGTAGGTCAGCAACTACAACATTTAGTAAAATCGAGACCGCGACGAACAAAAACGCGAGCTCCAACGAGACCGATGCTACGACCCGATCAATCACATTCCAACGACGGTATAGCTCTTGGCGAGGGTCTTGATGTTTTTTTTAGACCTACTACACCGACAACACCAATTGTTGGCTCACCAACAAGTGATGACAGGTAAATATATTTTTTATATATTTTATATCAAATATTTATTACTAGGTTTTGCAATAGTTTATCATTTCCAAATTATTTTTTACCGTAGTTTGCCAGTAATTTACAATTATTAATGCAATTAAAATATTGTACAGACGTGAACAAATAAGAATTTTTGATAAATTAACAACGGATAATTAATATATAAATAATACAAACATTTTACAATAATTAGAAATTCATTTCATGCAATGTTCATGAAATTAATCTGATCCTCGCTTGGACTTCATAGCTCACTGAACACATTCCCAACAATGATGACAACAGGTCTAGATAGCGGCAGCCCAAGCTTATCCACAGCTTATCAGAAGGGTGAGTCCACAATTAAAAAGAATGCACCAAACACTCCGATGCTCAAGAACCTCCATACCGAGACATCATCGCGCTCGCGTTCCAGCGATGACGTCGCCAAGTTTTCACCCCTCGTTGGACGAAGGTCGCATGGAGACTCACCACTAACTGCCTCACCCCTCACACGTAGAAGTACGATAGAGAGCACGAAATGCAATTCCGAAAAGATCGGGCAAGAGGTCGCCATCGCCGTTGCTATAGTTGATCAAGCGGGTAGGGAAGAACAACATATTATATTAAAATATCGGAGGTATTTAATGTTGAATACTAACACAATACAGTGTTATAAATTTAGCTTTTAAAAGAATAATAAATATATTTATAAAAGTACTTATAACAATGTTTGTATTATTATACTATAAATAATTAATATTTTTAGGCTTGCAAATACTTTAACATTCTGTTCTTTTAATTTTAATAAGAACGATATAACTATTTTATTATTAATAGAGTTTGAGAGTTTGAGAGTTTAATAGAAAATTACAGAATTTTGTTTCAAATATATTGGAAAACAATGTTTCTTATCACTTATCTATTTTTCTTATTTCAAATTATTCGCTTACAAGTATACCATGCGTTTGCAGTGTATACATTTCTTATTATTTCCTAAATTATATAAAAAAAATTCGTGAAAACTTATTACCATATACGATAAGTGAGATATTTCCATTTTTTATAATGCAAATGATAATTGTAGGACAAGCGTCAATGACAATTACGGACAATAGCAAAGAGCACCAAATCGGTGATTCAAGCGAGAGCACTGGTAAAAGCGTCATATCATCGGTCCGAAGGTTCACCGCAGCCGGACACGGCCACACCAGTCCAACAAACGGAAATATCCCGAAGAATTATATCTTAGAGACGGCAAAGTCGCCTGTGTTACGCTCTCTGACGACCAAGAACAATCAACAGCATGGTGACCGACGCTCACCACCAACCACTGCCCCGAAACCAAGACCTTGGAGTATGGCAGCCGACAGAAAATCCGGTTTGTTTAAAATAAACTTTGTTATATCAAAAGTTTTATTATTTACCATTTTATAAATTTATTACCAATGTTTCAATAAAAATGTATACAAATAGTTTTATTAATATAAAAGTATAGAAGTAAGTAATACAAAATATAAAAGTAACCAAATTTTTCTTAAAAAAAAGGGGGGGTAGTCGACCAGTTTAATTACTAAAAATTAAACTACATTTTCATTCGCATTGAGTGTAATAAAAATTAAGCAATAACTTTAATCGTACAGGAGAATTTAATCAGCTGTTAAGCGATGGGTCGAGTCCTAATACATCAGCGGGTAACACACCGGACTCGGGTGATGCGCTGGACGAGTCGACCGATAGCGGCATCTGCGGCCCTGCTTCCCTGCCCCCGAGTCTCACAGCGAGCTGTATCGTTGGGAGCTCCCTCGGGAACACTTGCGGCCTGGAGAAACGTTCGGTGCGTGAACTGGCAGCGAGCTTATCGAAAGGTGGGAACAGCAGCGTGACCTCGAGCCAGTCCAAAATCAATAAAAAGGAAAACGGTAAAATACAATATAGAGAAAGATAAGAAGCATTTTCTATATTAATATTTGAGCATCAAAATATTGATGAGCACGTAAAGCACGCTTGTAACATCACACGATCTCTTTTAAACGCTAGCCAAATCAACTATTAATTTATCAAACTTACATTTGCATGAGGAGTATAGTTTGCATTGCTGTAACTGTTTATGCCAGATCAAATATTAAAACTGTAATAATAAATTAATAGGTAAATAATAGCGTAGCATCCAGAATATCCTCAAAACATTTGAATTTCAAACATTTATGTTCAAAGACATTTTGTCGTTACTCATTATTGACGTAGTATTGGGCATCGCAAGAAATATCGTATTTTATTATCTTCATTTCTTATAATTATTTATAGCTATGATAATGTAATATCTACCGAGATTCTGTATGCACGAGTGACCCTTATAATTTTTGTTTAGTGTTGCCTTATGTAATTTATTTTAGAGCATTCCACAGCATGGAGATCTGTTTTGCGACGGTATGTTGATCCTTCATCATCAACACAATCAACCTCTCTCAAGGTATCACAGTTTTATCTTCTTTTTTTTTATTCATTATTAATTATTTATTCATTATTTAACTTGCTATTATTATTTAATAATATTATACACTACTCTGAGCTTTGAAATGCAATAGATTTATGTTTGTAACTTGTAATAGGTATCTGCAACTATTAATTCCTTTAATAAATTATTTTAAACTATTTGACATAGTATTTTAGTGTGACGAATACTTTTAATCAATTTTTATGTAACTTTTAACGAAATTAAAAATCGAAAAACTTTTTGAATGAAAATAAAATAATAACATTGAGATTAATCCTCTTTATTTATATTATTTACAATTTAAATATACAAAAGAAATTTAAAATAAAGAAATGCTCAAAAAAAGTTTCAATAGCAAATGTCGGATGCATCGAAAAAAGATATTAATTGCCAAACATAATTCCGAATCTTCTAATACTTTAAAATAATAAAATCATAAAGATCCATAAAACATAAATTTCTGACAATAGCCAATAGCAATTGAAAGTAAAATATAACGCATATTTTAATCATCAATTTGTAGACTATTTAACAAGCTTTTAACTATTTTATTGCTTTGTATAAAAAATCTACAATATCTATCAGTTCATTCTTTACTTACCATAAGTTATAGCATATAATCTATTGAAAAACTAATATAAAATCTGATGTTGTAGGCTAATGACTGTGTCGATTTATAATCAACAGTTCTTTCATATAATTATTTTTCCAAATAAATTATGGTCACAGAGTATAAAATTTTATTAGTGTTCCCAATTAGGTTGTGCACAACACTTTGTGCAAAAGGAACACTACTAACGCAAGTTTACCTTTCATGTAGGCTAATTCTTTCTAAAATAAGAACTATATTTTTTCATTTGCAGAACTTTATTATTGATAAATATATAAAACGATATATTAACTACTGTAACAACTATACTTATTCTTGACATTTTTATTTCAATTTTTATAAAAATGATTAAAAAATGTTCGAAAAATATTATATAAAATTTTTCAAATATTCATCATAAAGAGGATTCATAGGTTGCATTTAGATTATTAAAAAAAAAAAATGAAAATCAAGTTAAATCTAATCACTTTGAGCTTTAAATACTTAAAAGTAAAAGAAACTATTTTTCAAATACAAAATTCTTTAACCCTGTTTTAAAGACATTATACCTGTATTTTGATGCTAATCTAAGTACCCCAGAGAACGTGACGAATTTCGTCGCTTTATCAATAAACATAATTAGCTTACAAATGATAGAACTTTACCTGAACTAAGAAAAATTTGAAGTTCGTTTTAAGAAAAAAAATCAAAATAATAATGTTCGACTTATTACACCAGAATGCCGTCTTAAAATAAATAATTCGTACACTTACTATTGAGAAGACATAAAATAAAGACATTTATAGAAATTTATTAAATGCTTATTTCTTATAAATAGCATGAATTACTAATTTAAAAAATGTGTGTGTTAATTATAATAAATTAAATATAATTCTAATTTTATGAAAATTATCAATTATATTCTTATATATATCGTATCATTCTTAATAATGAATAATGATATAAATTTTAATTTAACTTAATTATTTCTTTGTTCAATTAATAATTCTAATTTTTATTAAATATTCCTTACGTATTAACATTATCTACATATCCTTTTTATTTACAATCAAAACATAAAGATTTATAGTGAAAAATGTTTTTATTTTGTCAAATATATTAAAGCAGGAATAACCCATTTAATGTGAAAGATAAGAGAGAAAAACTTATTATCATCTGTTTTTTGTTTATGTTCTCAGGTACAGGAAACACAGAGAGAGACTGAGCCTAACCGCAGATTGGCTTTCAAACTCCGACGCACCTCATTCCTTCGTGATTCGAATTTCAATTACGATAACGACACAGTTGATGTATAGGGAAAAAGAAAGAAAAGTGTTTTTAATAATGAATCGATAAGAATCATTATTCAACAATATTTGATGATTTAATACGTTGAAAATTATAATAGAAACCAAAGGCCAATGTTTGAAAAGAAAAACTTTTACTTTTGCATACAATTTCAGGTAATATTGACAAATATTTCATAAAAATATATATTTTTTATTTATCAACTGTTTATTAAATAAAAATAATCGTAAATATCAACACAAGTATACTACAAATTACATATAATTAAATTTTTATTATTCTCCATTTTAGTAATATAAATTTACTCTTACATGAATATAAACACTTATAATAAATCAGTTTTACGAAAATCTTGTTAAATATAATAATGCCTTAAATCAAAGAAGAACAGTAAAAATTTTGAATATCAACATGACCTTTGATAAAAAAAAATTGCTTAGAGCAATTAATAAATGAAAATAATATTAAAAGAGATACTACTCTTATAAAGCTGATCTGCTATTTGCTGTTCGGTATAGAACTAAGAAATAATTTGATTATAATCGAAGTAATAAGTCACATATATCAGACACAAATTATACAGTAATTATCTTATTTTTCTTTCTTTTTCTCTTTTTAATACTTGATTTTCTTTAAAATTTTAACAATCAGATGCATTTTTAAATAAAAAATAATCAAAATAGGAAAATTAATATACCATAACAAACATATATTTATAATTCTTTTAGATTTGACTTTATTACATTCCAGATAAGTAAATAGAAAATAATGGAAATGAATATGATTATTATGGCCCATTTGAGGTGCCTCCTGTTTAGTTCCAACAGTTCTAATTTAACTTTTATAATATTGCAAGTTCAGACTTTATTTCTGACAGTGGGTGCTTAACCCTATGTTATTTGCGCTACCTCATTATCTTTCGCTGCTCTCGTTCATTTATGTGAAAGCTTATTTTCAAACTTCACATCTGTATTACAAAGTCAAAACAACAATTATACAATTTAGTATTGTATCATTGTAAGGTGATGATCTCTGTATTATTATAGAATTTTGTAATTGTTATATAATTTGTAATATGGTATTAGTTATACACTTTCTCAAAATAAAAAATGTTAATTTAAAATTTATATAAATTGGTAAATAACTTCAACAAATGTTATTATTTACTGTAAGAATAAAATAAACTATCTTGCAAATTATTTGACAATACGTATTCTACATTTTTCTAATTATTATTATTATTCTCTCTCTCTCTCTCTCTCTCTCTCACTCTCAATGTAATGATATATTTTTTTAATGTGGCTACAACGGTACTTTTAGTTTATATACATTTAAATAATATGAAATGAGTAAAGAAGCACCTACTATTAATTATTGCAAATGATAAAATTATAAGAAAAATTAATTATTAATTATTTTCAAATGGTCAATGATAATTACGCTAATGGTTAACTGACAAAGAACAAATATTAGCATGCGTTAATAAATTATTTATCGTTTTTTGTAATTTTAAATGATAAATATATTTTAAAATTTCAGTATTTCGACGTTATCAAATATCTAGTGAAGTAGAAGTATTTTGTTTATAATTTTTTGTATAACTATTTCATATATATATATATATATATATATATAAAAAACATACTAAATAAACAATAATAATTTTGTAATATTGATAGATTATTTCCGATTTTAATTATTAAAAAAAATTTAATCGGTATTTAATTTGTCAATTTTCTTTTAGCATTGTAAATTTATATGAACTATCTATTTTGGTTGATATTTGAGAGCATGAGTAACGAAGAATAATTAGTTTTTAAATGTTATACACAATTAGATAGCTAATTTATTTGATTAGCTATTCTAAAATTCCAGCTGAGTGCTTATAATTCTGATACACCGCACTTTTCATTTTTCAGAATTAAAATTGGCCTCAACAATTTTTATGAATAGTAATTTTTCATTTTATTTGTAATATTGTTTTAGAGAAAATACCAATATTCTTCGTGTTTAGTATTACTTTAGTCTGCTAATTTATGCACGAATTCGTGCACTTGTAAATAAGGTTGTGTATAAGCAAATTATTTAAGGTACAAGATGAAAAAAATTTATAGTTATACCTTCATTTTTACAATCGCATGACCGTTACATTAAAAAAGCAATTTCAAATTAAGCTATATATTGTATAAAGAGCAAATGGATATTATATTATTTAGGAAATAAATGTAGGAATAATATATTTTATTAATCATATTGAATGTATACTTTAGTATAATTATAAAATTCGAATGCATTTACAAGATTGTTTTAATTGGAAATTTCTTTCGAAGATTATGAGAAAATTTATTCCGAAGAATGGATTTTAGTTAATTCATCGATCTTGCGAAATACAATCTTTTTACAGTAGTTAAAATGTTGAATAATAATCTACTTTGAAATCTACTATCGGCATTGATATAATTTATAATAACTTATTAAGCATTAAAGAATTATATTAAAATATTGAATTGATTTGAATAATATTTTGTGGTACCATATATTTGTATCAATTGCATGAAAAATATGTTCTTCGATTTTCAAAATTCGTAGTTATTCAAAATCTGTTGGAATGTTAGTTTGCATTAGACTAATATAAAAAGAATAAATTATGTATTACTTGCAATAGTATTAATTTTAATGATGATCTAAAAAATGAATGATTTTCACATATTTGCCGGCTGCTGTTATCAATTCTGGATAATATATTTATTAACAATTCAAGATTTCAATTTTCAAAAATGTCTTTATTGAAAATAGTAATATCCATTTTCTCATTTATGAATAAAAAAGGAAACGATAATTAAATAAATGTTCAATTAAGACGAAGATCATTAATAACGTATACAATACACATTATCTTATCGAACTGCATTACTACATGATTAAGCTTAATTACGTTTTTATTTACTTAAGCACGCAACCTTACGATTTTCAATATTACTTTTAATAATTTAAAATGTCAAATTTTTATATTTATAAAAAATTTATACACAATAGTAATAATTGCACGTGCTTTAAGTATTTTAAATTATAAACACATTTAAATAATATATATTATTGTATTAAAATATTTTAGCGTTTAGTAATATGTATTCATTAAAAAAAGCTTTTGAAAAAAGTTGATAAATGAAACATTTACTATTGCACGAAAATAGACATTGACTATGTTTATTTTTAATAATGGAGCATATCATATAACGAATTTGATGTGATTTATATCAATATTTTAGTAAATTCATTATGGATTAAAATTCAATTCTTTGTCGAACAATTTTGTAATATAAAAAGGACTTGACTATTTCTAAATATTAAATTAAGCAATTTTTCAATTTTATAAAGCTAATTATTTAAAATTATTCTGTTTAATATTTTTAATATAATTTTAAATATATTTATCTAAAAATCGTAAGTAACTTTAAGAGAGTTCATCGGTTAATATAAAAATTATATTAAATATAAAATTAACATACCAAATAATAATTATAAAATTATTTAAATTATTTAAATTGAAATATTGAAAATTACAAGCACGTAGAACTGAATTTACTGGTAACTATTAGGCCAGTAAAATTCGATTCTTAAATAAATAATTTAATGAATAAATAAATAATCGAATCTCAAAACTGCGTGTGCCAAAATGAAGTAAAAAAAAATTAGCTAAGATTGAAACACGCGCCTGTATTGAAAATAAATCCTAGTTAAAAAATAAATAAACTTAAATTTGTGATTAAGATATTCAAGATGTTTGAAACTTGTTTTAATAAATTTTTAATTAGAATTAGATATATTAATTTTATAGTAAATGTATATATAAAGCAATTATCTTTAGCAGCATTTGCGGGTATCGATAATGTTTACGTAAATGTATACCTGTATAATTAAAAAAATTTTCCCTGTGGTTTTGAAAACAAATTTTTTTAATTATGAGTAAAAATATTAACTTGTTTACGAAATAATAATACTTAAAAATGTATGCGTGCGTCAAAGTATGTGTGAGTGTATATAATTTTAATTTATATAGTTGGCTGAGCGCTCATGGGACTAAAACTTACGATAAGCGCATTTTATGAATGGATATGGAACGACCCACGTACATGCACCATGGTGTTATTTTCTTTTCCACAATATATGTATATTTTGCCATGAGCCACTGTCATCAATTTAATAATCATTGTCTTGTCATTATTAGTAATTATATGGAACTGATAATATTAATTTTGTTGTTGTTATTATTATTATTATTATTATTATTATTATTATTATTAATACTGCTATTATTAAAAATTTACATTGTTCAGAATTTGCGAAATATATTTGGCAACTAAATACAATATGAATTGTATTTAGTACTGACATTTATGCGTATTTATGCACATGTCTCTTTAACAAACAATAAAAATATGGGATCGATTTAATGCAAACATTACATAAATTAATTCATTTATATTCATAACCGTACATATGTTTTAATCCTCGTTCTTTAATTATTTAATATTTTACACTCCAACGTATAGTATTATAATTCTTTATAAAGAAATTAAATTCTGAATTTACGCGTTGAATTTTGTATTATACGATGAATAATACTTAACTAAATAGAAAGTACAAAATTAAATACTTTATTAAGTTTTATTCAATACATTAAATAAGTCCATAATTACAGTAAAATTAATTTATAATACCATAAAAAATATATAAGTATTATATAATAAAAATTTACACACAAATTAAAATAAATATTGCTATGATATTGACTTTAAAATAGTATAAATAATCATATTTAGTATATAATTCCAAGTAATTTCACAAAACAATATTTCTTATTTGAATTAATGGTATATATTAATGGTATGTATTATTCAGTATAACAATTAATACAAAATATCGCTGCTATTCGACATTACTAAAATTTTATACATAGTTAATTAATATTTATTGATTTGAATTAAATTATAATTTTTTTAAAAATTGATTGAATGCATTTCGAATCATCCTAGCTGTCCATTTTAAAACGTTACTATTATTAGACTAATATTATATATTTTTGCCATCAAATCAGTATATTAGTTCAATGTAGTAGTCATACACTTGAAAACACTTTTTAATATTCATATTCATGAAGGTGTTACGGAGTTTAAATTTTCGCGCTTAATAGTGATTTAATTTAATAAAGCATATCACATGATAATAAAAAATAAGATATACGTGTACCTCTAACTGTAAAAATTTTTGCGCATAGAGATTGGGGACGGTGGCACAACAAGAGATACACCAATTAGTTTCCGTAGTGGTGTGGCTGGAGAGAGGGTCGCGTGAAATAAATATCGAATTTGTACAACGATGATTACAATAATTATCAGGTAGCAAGTGATATATTCCGCGAGGAATTATTGAATAAAAGATCGGTGAAAGAAAAAAGAAAAGAAAAAGAAGATGTCACGCGTGAAAGGCACAGATAGGCTAGGAAATGGCAACAAGAGCGAACCGAGCATTTGGATACGGGCGATCACAGCAAATTCCGAGTGGACAGATAAGGTAAACATAACCTTATAGTCACTTGCTGATACATTGCCAAAAAAATAATTTTACACTCATGTTTTTAGAAATTTTACACTACAGAATTGTTTCTTTTTAATATTTAAAATATATTTATAATGAAACATTACAATCTAAGAAGAATTTTATACATAATAATATAAATATTCAATTTTTTAGTCAGCTGATAATGAATACGGAAATATGCAAAACATTCGTTTCACAATTTTTGTTTTATTTTATTTTCGAAAACAGACTATGAAAATTGACCTAACGTTTCTAAATCAATAAAAAATATATCTATGTTTCAAATTACAGTTGTTTAAATACATTTTGTACATTTATTTTCTACCTTTTAACTATTAAAACATAGAGAAAATATATTTAAATAAATTAGAAAAATAACAAAAATACTGACAAACATTTTTATAAATATTTATTTTTATTAGTATTTTCTGTTAAAATTTATTTGTTAATATATGTAATTTTTATTTTATTTTTTAAAATAGGAAGAATTTCTTGATGTAATTTATTGGGCTAGGCAAGTAATTGGAATAATTGTTGGAATTGCATGGGGCCTAATACCTCTAAAAGGTTTTCTTGGACTATTATTGTAAGTAATTTAATTGATTTACATACAAAATAAATTGTTTAAAATAATATTTTTATTGAATGACTTTTTAGGTTTGTTTTAGTAAATGCTGGTAGTTTATATTTATACTTTAGTAGTTTTCAACAAGTAGATGAAGAAGAATTTGGAGGTGCATGGGAACTGACTAAAGAAGGATTTATGACTTCGTTTGCTGGATTTTTGGTGCATATCTAATGTTAAATTAATCAATTTATTTTACAGATTGAGATTATCATTTTTCTAAACTTTTTGTTACTGTTTTTTTTTTATATCTAAATAACTGGAATTTTATATATAATATATAACAAGTATTTGATTTATTTAATTGCATATTAAGTGTACAATAACAAATTTCACATTTAATTTAATTTTTTTAATATTACATTATTATTATTAATATTATTAAAATTGATATTTTATAATTAACTTGGAATACACATATTTATGTGAATTTATTAAAAAATATGTAAGTTTACTTGCTACAAATATGAAGTGTAGATAAAATTTTTATGTATTTTAATAATATATATATAACTAATAAAAAATATATAATTAACATTGATTACAGGTAACATGGATTATTATATACTCTGGCTTACATTATGATTAATAAGTACTTCCGCATTAAACAGCTGTAAAAGTGTATAAAAGGAGGAAATGAATTGTGTGTGTATTGAATATCGTGGGACATTCCTTTGCAAAAAATATTTATGAAAACAAGTTTAATGTATCCCGTTGATGACATTTTTATGTATATAAAAAATACATTTATTCTCTACACCTATAAATGTATATAATATTTAACATTTAAAAAAATATTATGTTTTATTTATTTATCCAATCATAGTACGTTTACGACCACGAGCTTTTACATCCTTATATTTAATTATTATTTCCTTTAACCTAGATTTATTTGAAAAGAATTTCTTATAATTTGTATATATTATTTCAAATAGCTCCGGTAGTTCTGCATGTGCACTCATTAATGATCTTTCTAAAACAAATAAATCTACAGCTGCATCTTCTGCTGTTGATTCAACTCTAGCTAAACCAAAATCAATCAATACTAGCTTATCTGAAACTGAATAAATAAATAATCTTATAGAGTTAAATTAATTAATTTATGTTTATACAGAAATATTTATCTCACGATTAATCTCAGCACTAATGACTTCTGATACATTTTTTATGAGAATATTTGATGTAGTTAAATCTCCATGGACAATATTTGCTAAATGAAGATTGACTATAATTTGACCAAGTTTACCCATAATTTTTTCTATTAAATTCTTTGCACTGTTATTTTTATAAACATATTGTTCAATAAAGGTTTTAAGCATTATGGCATTTTCAATGTACTGCATAAAAATGCTCCGACGTCTGAAATCGACTAAGTAAATAGCTGGAGTACTAACGCCTAGAAAATATGATTAATTTTTTTATTAAAAAAAATGGAATTTAAAATATGGGACAAATTATATACCTGCTAATTTTGCTCGAACAATGGCTCTAACTTCAGCTCGAATTCTTTCTTTAGTTAATCGTAAATCTAATTCTATATGTCTATATTTTTTCTCAAATCTCTCCTTTATTACAGTTAGTTTTCCCAAATATACTCCTTTATAAAGCCGAGCCTCTGCTCCTTGAGAAATTAATTCAAAATCTGGTATTTTGTACACCATAACTGGATTTTTCTTAAAATAAAATGTAATTGATTATTAAATGAATTGCTTTAATATATAAATTATTCTACATCTCATGTACATTCATAAATATTTGAATAAACCTCTTGTTATTAATAATTCAAAATAATTATAGATTACTTCATTTTAAAACTTTTTAAATGTCACCTTTTACCTAACTAATATAAATAACAATTGTAAACTGGATATTTATTTTCTATTTTTCATTAAATTCTTACCACTTTTACAGCACAAAATGATTATTGCAAAACATGTTTTATTTTATATGGTTATTTAAATATCTCACTTCAGAGTTGAAAAAAATATGTAATTTTATACTCTTTAATTTAAATTTTCAGATATATATATATGTTATTTTTATTTCTAATGCTAATATAGAAATATAATTTTTAATATTAATTAAAGTACAATTTGCATTTTTAATTTTCACAATAAGGCATTTTTAATTGAGTTATCGTATAGTTTGAAATTACAACGAATTGTTTGAAATTATAAAAGATTATTTTTTTTAAACAGATTTTCTGTGAAGTAGAAAATTTATTTATATTTTGAAATGAAATATAATTGTATTTTTGCTTTAATGTGAATAGCGGATATTCATTTTTAAATAGCATTATTTTGATTCTTATAACAACATAATTTTACATATCATGATAAATTGTTATTTTTTTGTTTTGTTTTGCTTTTATATATAATTAATAATCCGTTCATACTAAAATAATTACTTAATTACATACTATATTGGCGAAAATGGAATTTCGAATGTTATATTAAATATTAATATATTCGATACATAAATTCAAGCATATGAATTATAATATGAAAAATAACGGTCTATTATTTTTTATGCATAAGGCATGTAAATGTATTTAGTGGAGTATGATAACGTATGATAAAAATATATAATTATTTAAATATCGTTGTACATAATAAAATTAAAATAGAGTATAAATTGCATAATATGTGTCTATGTATCTAAATAAATGAAGTGAACGTCACTGTATTATATTTTATTATTTAAAATATTAATATTCGCTTTGATTTAGTGTCATAATAAAAGAAAAGTTTTTTACGTGTCACTATATTTCAATTACTATTTTTGATGTTTTATACAGTGCTAATAGTACATGCATACGCAATATGGCCTCCGTCATCACACAAAACATTACGAAATTGTAATATTCAATTTTTGAAATAATTAATGTTCTGTTGAATTATTATATATTTAATTAAAAAATCTTCAAATATTAATTATTCTGACATAATTAATTAGTCGGCATATTTCTTGCACATTGCTTACTTATCTTAAAATTTAAATGCTAAATTGAAAAATAAAGATGTTTAAGGTTGAAAAACTTAAAAATTCTATTAAATTTTAAGAAACCAGATAGAAAAACTATTAAATTCCTTATACAATTTATTTCAATGGAATCATAAAAAGCAAAATCCATAATATAGTTATATATTATATATATGCTCTTTCAGTTGTATGATACTGCGCTTGTTAAAATAATCCTTTCAATTCAATTTACAACTACGTAATTACAACTATGCACCTCTCAAATTTATATAAAATTTAATATTCAGTTTTACGTGCGTTTAATAAGGAATTAATTAACAAATATACATATTCAACTATATATATATATATATATATATATATAACAAATACAACACTTAATATTTCGATATTGCATTTAAAAACTAAAAGCTTTCATATTCACTCACTACGTTTCGTATTTTACTATATATAATATTTTAACTAGCGAAATTAGTATTAGATCATAACGCTGTACAAATTGTTAATAGTTATTCGATTAGAGAGAGAGCTAGCATACTACATAAAATTACCCATCATTACAAATGCATCGATTCAATTGTACAGAGCTTGAAATGGTACTGAATGTCATCGTTATATGCTTATACGTGACAAAAAAAAAAGATGAATAAATGAGATATTAATACGCTCTGATCCCATATTGCATTTACAATCCAGGACACACGGCAAACGTATAATATATCTGTCGCGTGCTACGACGCCGATTAGCCCCATGCGCTACACTCACGCACACCTACGTATACCCATATGCATGCGCATTGAGTGCGCGCGAATCGATCGGACGGCATACGTGCACATTGTTGCTGCTGCTGATGCTGTGTTCTGGGAACACAAGAGTAAAGGAAAGAGGTATGATAGCGTATCCTCCTTGTTACCTATCTCTCTCTCTCTCTCTCTCTCTCTCTCTCTCTCTCAGCTCGAGCGGGAAAGATCACTAAGAATCCTGCGCTAATCGCTTTCTCTTTCGATACTCTCGCGCGCAATGCGTATACGCGGACGTACGTATTTCGTGGGTCGCAAAAACATTTGCCTACACTCGTTAATGCAAGTATAAATTTTGTCGGATTGTGTTGTCATTGGGGGTAGAAATCAAAAGAGGTTATAAGTATATCGCACGAGTAATATACGTTAAAATTGAAGAGAAGAGAAAGGCGCAAGGGCTGCGTAGGAGGAGAATAATTTTGTCGTCGAAACGTAAAAAGTGATCGGACTGCAGCAAGTTTATTTATTTATTCTTTTTTTTTCTTTCTTGTAGCGAGTGATTGAGCCGGGCTAGACAACACTGGCCTTGTCAATTGAAATGTAACGTAGCAAGGAAGGTAAGAGAAACACTCGATTTAGATACAAACGATTAGATACGATACGCGAAGATTTTATTTTTTGAGAAGTTTTGAGGAATCGCGTAAGCGAATTATAAAAGTAAAGTGACGACGACACGCGAACAACATAATTGGATGAAAGGATGAATAAAAACACCTGTTAGTGGCTACGTACAAGTACGCAGAGTTAATTTAAGTTTAAACGTGAACGAAGCACAAGCGGCTTCGTCGGCTAATTTTTTATGCTCCACGCGAGCGGAAATAACAGGAAGGTCGCAAGGCGCATGAGGAGGAACATGAGGGACGAGATGAAGATGGACGCTAATCGACTGATAGCCGAAGTCTACAAGAGGCCCGCGCTCTGGAATCAACGGCACATATCTTATCACAACCGGGAGATGACTAATCGTGTTTGGATGGAAATAGCTGGGATATTTAAGCTACCGAGTTAGTATTAGTCATAATATTTTTAAATGTTTTTCAAATATATGTAGAAAATAGTTATTTTGCTTCTTGTACATGTTTATGACAAAAACATGACCAAAAGAATTTGTCTGTTTAAGTTAACTTATGTTACCTATGTACGTCCCTATATTATACATAGATTATACGAAACTTAATTCACTTCGGCTTACTGGGCTTATTTAAATGCAAGATTTGAACTAACTTTGCGTAATTATTAAATGTTATATTAAACATCTAAAATATTTAATCTCTTAAATAAATTTCACAATTTCAATACGTACCACCACACTGTACAGTTGTAAACTATGAACCTAACCTCTCAAATATTAAACTTGATGGTTCAGATAAAGGGAGAGCTGATTTATACTTTCAAAATTTTTTTTCTTTTTATTTTTTTTATTAATATTTTACTTATATTTTGTATATCATAAAACCATTATGTTGTATGTTTAAATATTATTACTCATAAAATTAGGATTATTTAACATGTAAATAATACAAATAAAGGTAGAATTTCTATATTAAATTGTGAAACAAATATAATATAAGTAAAATAAAGATAAGTAATAATAATAAATATTATATAATCAAAATTATTCGTATTTTTCAATTAATAATTGAAAAATAAAATTTTACCTATTTACTCAGAACCAGTGTTGAAAGCTAAATGGAAAGGGTTGAGAGATACATTTCGTGCTGAATTGAAGAAGGAACAAGTTTATTGCAAAAGCAAATATCGAAGAAATAGACCACTATGGATTCATTTTGAAAGTCTCCAATTTCTCAAAGAGCAAATGTTGCCTAGACCTCCTATTTGGGAGCTCAACACCCGTTCCATGAATCGTAGTGAAGATGATTGCGATGGTTCGCAAGAACATCATATGAATGGTATAAATGGTGATGATAATCTTCAGGGAGACCATGATGATTCATTAACTGATCACCTATTGCGTTCCTCCATTGCCAGGTTAGTTTCCAAATTATAAAGAATACAATTGTTTATTTTTTGGTATTAATTCGTTAATCATAAAATTCCAAGAAATTAGTTTAAATTCAATTTTTAATTATAGCTTTTTAATATATATTTAAATGTAATAAATTATTATTGAACTATTTAAATGGAGTGAATTCAATATAAAATTTATTTTAGTTTATATTTACATAACATTTATTTATACTTGTTTTCTCTCTCTCTTTCTCTCTGTGTGTGTGTGTGTGTGTGTGTTCATTGTTCAAAAAGAAATTTTCTTATAAATATAAAATGATTTTAAATACAAAAAATTATATATAGTTTTAATTTTTTTAAATTTCTTTACATTAGTCATAAACATCCATTTACTATTAAATATATTATGTACAATATTTTATATTTTACAAAGACGTAAACACAAATAATTTTTTAATTATAGATCAAATGAAAATGTTACTCGACAAGGAACAGAAGTTAAAGTAGAGCCAGAAGAGAGATTTGATGATTTGGAATATCATATTGTTTCACCTATAAATAGACTTAGTGATAGTGAGACTATGTTACAAACACTCTCTCCAGAGCAAGTACTATTAACTACTAGTAGCAGTGGAAGAGATTGCCTACCAGGAATCAATGGTACAGGTGATAGTGATTCCAGTGTTGGTATGGCAATGGATCCACACGATGGTCATCGCCTTGATGATAACTATTATTTTCTGTTAAGTCTTTTACCTCATATGAAACAATTATCAGCAGAAAGAAGGATGTTTCTTAGAATGAAAATTCAAGAACTAGGTATTTCGTTTCCGATTGAATTATTTATTATTTTTTAATTAATTTATCTAATTTTCAACTAGGATCTATATATATATTGAAAATTAATCTACAATTTAATATGAATCTTGAACTATCAAAACCATGTCAAAAAAAATATTTTAAAAAATTAAAATTCATTTTAAAAAAAGAAATGACTAATCCCTAATTTTTTCATTTATTTGTTAAAAAATAAAAATAGTAAAAACTAATAATACAGTTTCTTTTTATTAAAAAAAAATTAATTGCTTAAGTCATAAAAGAATATATAAATCTTTTAAATACTTAATTTTATAATTTAATGATTGAAATGAAATTTTTTAATTTAATGATTTAAATTATTTTTAGATAAATAAATAAATACTTGTTGCAAATTTTAAATTTATTAGACATTTTTCACATTTTATTGTATTTCAAAATAAAATTTAATGTTAATACGCTTATAAATCATGTTTATAGTATATGAAGAAGTTTATCAAAAGAATTCCATGTCGTCAAAAGAAAATCCAACAACTTCTTGAGTTCGGACCAGCCGAAGAAGAGAATGTCAAACCTCTTTGAGGTTCTTAATAAAGAAACGAAAGACTGAGGATGAAGAATAAAGTGTTCTGTGACTTTGCTTTTCATTATAGATGCTCCTCTGTTATCTTTTTACCGATCGTCTGCGTGCAATATTTTCTATTTAATTTTGGTTTTGTAACCTTTAAAAACAAACATTAATAGTTAAAATTCAAGTATTCTAATTAAAATTCTAATTAAAAAATTAACCTTGACTTTGAAAATTTCTGTAAACTACATATAAACTACGTATGTGTACTAAGCAAACAAGATAATAGAAATGTAATTTACATAATTGAGATGAAAATATGTAATATGAAAATCTTATTTCCTTTAAATAACAAAGTACCAGGGTCCAGGTATAAATAATTGGATTTGATTCAAATATCTACTTGTGAATTAGATGAATCAACTAATGATTGATATTGAAGAATTATCATTTTAAAAGTGATAAAGTTTATATTAATACAGTAGGTGCAGACTCTTTAGAATATAATAAGCTATGTGAATTCTTGTTAGTAAAATTTTAAAACCAAAGTTTAAATGAAAATTATATTGACATTGTTTTAAAGAAAACTATTGAAAATACTGATATAACTATTAGATAATAAGAATCTTAGAAAATATTACATGAAGATATTGAAGACATCAAAGTTAACATAATCAAGATAGTAATTTGAAACTTAATAAATTTACAAGAAGACTTCAAACAAAAAATTTAATGAAATAATAAAGGATCATACATTTCAAGAGATTATGAAATTGTGCTATATATTTCAAAGCAACAATTAATGCAAACTCCAAATTTGATGTCAATAAATGTACAAATAGCAGTGCAATCCTCATATATCACAAATAGTAAGTTAAAACATACATATTTATAAATTATTTAGTGCTTAAAATAACTATTTTAAAATAAAAATTCTCATTTTATTATTGTTACAAATTCTTTTAGATTAAATAAATTTTATGTTCCATTAGTGATGAAACTATTTAGCTGCTTCATAGAATTGTATAGAAAATATTTTTATATTATTTGCATGAATATTTCATTACTTTTAAAAACTTATAGTTAAAAAATATGTTAAATATAAAAATAAATTCTGGGCATTTTGATAGTTAAATAAATATTTACTGAGAAAAAAAATACTAAGCTAATGTTTGTTATTTAAATGTATTTCTATATATAAATAGATTATTAATTTCAACTTTAATATTACTGAATATTCATTTCAAATTACTTTCTACTAAATTAATAAACAGATTTGTGAGCAAATCAAAACTTAAACAAATAAATTGAAATATACAAAAAAGAATATTATTTAGTATATCAATAGTCATTCTAGTTATAATTATGTTTAAATTTCTGTGTTACTGAAAATATTAACAAGTTTTATTATTAAAACAACGCATTGAATCGAAGTTATTCGTTTTTTTACACTGAAAAATATCATTTTATATTTATATTTAATAGCAATAACACTAAAACAAGCAATAAATCATCTTAAAATACGATGTTTTGATCTGCTTTTTTGCATTTGCTTCAAAATTTAATTTAAAATTTTTACTTAACTAAACTTAATTTAATAATGTGCTATAAAGCTGCAATCGAATAAATAAAAAAAAGTCCTTATTTAAAACTCGAATGCGTTGCTAGTGTACACGCGTATGCACATTTTGTGGAGATGCTGCCGAAATACGTGACAAAAAAAATACTAAATCGTCATAAAATTGTTTAAGTTCAATCAACGGACAGGAAGGTGGCTGTTCTTGTTACATTGAGAGCCACTGATGCCTTTCGTACCTGACGCTGTTACTACCGAACCACGAGAGATAAGCAGCAGCCAGCGACACATCTATGCTGGTATACGAAACAGTACATATATGCATATTACATTTATTTAATATTCGTCTTCGGAATTCAGAGACAGAGTCGCACATTTACATCTATTGTCAATAAGGACTTACTCTCGCTTTGTATGCAGACTTTTTTATAGTCACATTAAAGGATATAGCCGTTTAGAGGGAGAAAAAGAATTAATGAAAAAACCAATACAAACATAAATGCGATTTTTCTTAAATAAAATTGTTGCAATATGTATATATATATATATATTATATATATATATATATATATATATATGTGCTTCTTAACAAAAAGGCACATTGTTTTAAAAAGGCAAAAGCATCAAGAGTTAATATTTAAACAGTTTATTAACTTTCAAATTTGTTAAATAATACTATAAGACATATTGGTCCAACTTAATTGAAAAAAAAGATTAAAAAATATAAAAAAACTCGTAATTGTAAGATAAGATTCATTTGGTGCCAATAACAAATATATAAATAAGCCACTTTATAGTCATATAATGCATAATTAAAAATTGAGATAAAATAAAGGATTGTTATTACTTTTTTTTATGCATAAAAATAACATAGAAAAAAACATTTTGTTATATGTATAAATATATATATATATATATATATATATATATACATATACTTAAGAAAAATAAAGAAGAATAAGGCTGTAGGCTCATTTAACCCTGCTCTAAATATCGAGCATTTTATAAGATGAAGTTTCTATTAAAAGCGGTTTGAAATTCCTTTGCATAATGCCATAAACGTCCGATGCAATCAAGGGCGCCTAAAATTCCGCGCCAGCGAAGGCGAATGGGAAGCAAATGAGAGGAAAGAATAGAAAAAGAGGAAGAGAGAGAGAAAGGATACCTTCACGTGAATAATATAACGTCCTAACTATGGCATCGTGAGCACCGCTAACAATCGCTGCCAGACTGGAAGAGCGACGTCGCCGCGCACATTAAAGAACGGTCAAGCCCGCGCTCTTGGCGCATGCGTCGATACCATCACGAGACTGGCTCTCGTCTACCTGGGAACTTGACAAAGAGAGAGAAAGAGAAAGAGAATCGGTGGGAGCGTACTTACCGGAGCAGGCGATCACACCGAGAGCGACTCTAGTTTCAGTCCTCGGTCGGTGTTTCACCCGAGTGTGTGTATTATCTATCGTGCGATTTTGCGTGATCAGTGGCATCATCAGTACAGCCGCTTTTGGGTCTTCTTCGCAGGTGCGTAACAATTCATCCATCCTGCTTTCTTCCATTGTCGTACGCCACTCATCGCCTCACCGTCCCGCCGCAGTCCTTAATCCATGAGCTCGCACAAGGCAGAGCTTTTTCAATTGCTACTACAGAGTCTCGAAATTACTTCCGGAGTCACAGTGTGTTTATTTATCGGTAGTTACGCGCGAGAACAAGTGTCCCAGTGTGCACGGATAGGTACGCGCGAATCGGGGTCGCAGGCAGTTGAAACACGAGGAGTGACGGGACCAGTGCGCGCTTTCTTACACCCCCCGCACCTCTTCGCTCACAATGATTCTCTCTCTCTCTCTCTCTCTCTCTCTCTCTCTCACTTACTCACTCACTCTGAATCTTTGACTTGCATGCTCGCTCGCGTGTCATATTAGACGCTTGTCCGTACAGAAAGGCCTTTTTTCGACATATGTTGATGCATAAAGCAGGAAAGAAGGATTGCGTATTTTCGAAGCCCTCAGTGTCCTTATGGTGTTCTTTTTCTTATTCCCGTTCCGAACGTTACGGCGGATCAGTTGACAGTCATCCTCGTGAGCGTGAATCCTTCTCATTCTTTAACTTAATATTTTGCCCAAGTATGACGTACGTTTTATTCTAAATATGAATAGCGCTGAGTATCGATAAGTACCAAAACAATGGCACTTTAAGCCGTGGAGTGTACAATCAGCAAAGTTATATCGTTTTATCTCTTTTCTCGCAAAAGTCATTAAAGAATTTATCCGCACGGTAGCGCACGTGCAATCCCGAAAATACGCTTCGCACTTGTTTTGTATGGCGTTATCGCAACACGACCGTATATCCCGTATTTTTTTCTTTATTTTTATCTTTCAACTTTTGGCGACGCGCGGGAAAAAACGATAAACAGTATAGCAGCCTTCGAACGTCGCATTGCGCTTGGCTTGCCATTGAAGTTCTTTTCGGCTAGTGTAACCGCAACCCCGATCGTAACGACAAGACGAAAAAACAGAAGGGCTTCCGTGACAACTTGGTTTCTGCTCTTTTGTCCTTTGTCAGTGAGGATTTTTCATGGATGATCGCGGTGGCAGTTTCGATTGGACACAACTACTCAAATGGAGATGGTAGCTTTTAATTTAAGTTGGCCTGAGTTTAGTAATGCTTCGATTCGAGTCAATTTGGCGGTAATCGATACGTTTATTAATAGTTATTATTAAGTGGCCTTTCGCTGTGAAGCTTCGACTACAAAATCTTGAATGACAACAATAGCAGTTTATTTCATACGCGCTAGATAACAAATTTTTTATTCGCTTCAAGTAATTTAAAATTTAATACTATACGTATAATACGAGAAAATGTAAGTAATTGTACTTTTAGCTTCAATGTTTTTTTTGTGTAATCCTGAACATGGATGTAAATCGTATATAGCAACAAAATTATTGTTATCAATCATTCCGCGAATAAAAGTTTTTTGCGATCGATTTGTTCGTTTCACATGTCAAAATCCAACATACAAACTTCATGCATGAGATTAAATCTCCGCATACTGAAAAATGAATATTAAAAATTAAAATATATTTTATATTAAATAAACTATAATTTTATTGGCAAAGTGTCACTCTTTTGCAGATGCACTTCAAAAATTATGAACTTTTAAGAAATATGCTTTACTATACATAAATTGTAATTTTACTATTATTAAAGTATTAATTATATATATATATATTTTTTTTTTATATTTTGTTTTTGATAAAATTTTTATTTTATCAAACTTAAATTTTATTAAATTTAAAATTATAACCTTTCAATGATGAAAAAATATTTTATACGTATAAATAAGATACAGTATGATGAAACTCTTCGTCCAAAATATATATTACTAGAAGTTTTAGAAAGTTTTTAATATTTTTTTTTTTGTTTTAAACTAAATTGATATATTTCTACTTATCCTAAGATTACTTTCAAAGTAGTAGTACTTTCAAACCTAAAATACACACATTTCTAACAGTTATGTTTTAATGTTGATTCGGTTATTTTGTAACTACTTGTGTAAATGATTTATGATTTTCTTACCATAATTAATAGAAAAATAGTTTAATATTAAATTAAAGATGTATTAATTAATTTACTATATGATTTACTTATGTAAGTCTTTATTTAAATGTAAAAAAGGATATTAATAAATATTTTATTGCATTTCCATTTGTAAAATAAATTTCAATTATATGATATATTATATAAAAACGACAATTTATTACATAGTTTATAATTTATCTTAATAACGAAACTTTATAATGCTGATTTTGAAAAATTTATTTTTAATCGACTAAGTAGGAAAATTTTAACTCTACGTCATATTTATTTAATGTTAAAATATAATTATTACAAAGATAATGACATTGTTTATATTGGATTGTAATATAATATACTAAAAAATTATTTAAAAATTAATAATATCAATTGAATAATTAAATTCGTTGCACCTATAATGTTAAGACAAAAATTTTATATAATAAATCATTAAGCAAGTAATTGAAATTGGTGTCTCGATTTTTGTTTTCAATCTTCAAAAATATTATTTTCCTATTTTGTTGAAATAGTAAAATTTCTATTTGAAGCATACTATTTAAAAAAGAAAGTATTAATCTATAAAGCAATTGACAGTATTCTTAATTATTCAGTCTTTCTTAATATCGAAATCGATAAGTCACTACAAAATTATAAATAAATCTAATGAAAAGTATTATTTGCTGCTATTATTAAATTGTATTAAAAAAATCCTTACTTTCTACATTGATAAAACTTAAATTATAATAAAAGTTGTAAAAATTTAAACCAATAAAAATTATGAATTAAAGTATATAATACATGCATATGGCAATTAAAAAATTATTTTTAAATCGATAAGTTGAATTAACCAAAAATATATGAATTTTATGATATTCTATAATGAATAATTAAAAATAATTTAAACAAAGTATCAATTTCTAAGCTTATTATAAAAGTCATAAATTAACAGGTGTTTGACAGAGTATTACATAATTTCATTAATTTAATTATATACTAATATATGACAATCAAATAAATTTTGAATTCTTAGAATTCTTCTCATCTTGTTATGTCTTGTTATGTTCATCCAATATAATGTTTTTTTTTTTTAAATATAAAATTAAATAACATATCCATATATATTGGTTATATTATAACATACATGTTTTGCAAGTTGCTTTCATATATATCAAGTTTCTTGTATGTATTTAAGTTTTAGAGGTTCACAATCAGTAATGAAATAATATTTAAACGAATGAAAGAATATAAAATATATTCATGAAAATAATTTTGTGACTTATCGAATACGAATGCTAATGAGTAGGGTAGCAATTTTTTTTAATTTTTCAAATTAATATATATTCAGAATGGAATCATTAAAATTCATTAAAGCACACAATTTCAATAGTGCCTAATACATTTTCAAACTTTAATATAACTTACAGAATAATTTAAAGAAATAGTTCAAAAGAAAGCCCACTTTTTAATAACTACTCAAAATACATTTTCAATAATATTAAATGCTCACGTAATTAATTTTTCTATTTTCACTATTCTAAGTTGTATAGTTTTAAACAAATTATATTAATGGAAAGCCATATAATAAATATAATAGTGCATTAGAAATGTTGTTTTATTTATACAAGAAAAAATCAAAATAAAAAGAAAGTGAAAGAAAGTCCATACAAAGAAGAATAAATAAACACGTTTTCAACCATTTCATAGCAAAAAAAAACTTTATTTTATACACCAAGCAAAATATATGCTAATATAATGTTTTTAAAATAATGAATGTTTTATAAAAATATTTATAATGTTTCTTAGACAAATTTGCTGAGTCACATTGATTTTAATAACAATAATATCCGTTAATATTTACCCAATTTCTTGCAACTCAAGTCCAAATTTTTATGACGTTAATTTTATAAACATACTTTTCTATAATGTCATATTACAGTTTTCAATTAATATTCTTTTTTTTTAATTATTTTAATACATAATTATTATTATCTAGTTATTTAATTATATTACATGAGTTCTTAATATAAGTGACTGTAAGGTACATAATCTAATAGTAAATAATTATTGAATATCAGAAATTCAAATTTCTTATTGTAACGCTTTTTATGTTTATAATTTCAAAATAATTTGAAGAAATTTATTTCTATTAAAAATTACGAGATAAAGGTAAACTGCAATTATAACAACAATGAAATTAAAATAGTAGATTTTCAATAGACATTAGTACAAATATTCAATATTATTTATATTGTGTAATATATATATATATATATATCATTGCAGGTAGTTGTACTTATAATATCGATGTACGTTTCGTTTAAAACATTACATTGTATATTGTGTACCATACCATACGTAGATACCATTGAATTTTAAGTTGAATATTTATAGTTAATAGAAAATGCTAATTTATTGTTATTCTCAACGAAATGCTGGAATTCAGTTTAATAATGTAATCTGGCATATATCGCATTACAACAATTGCTCATCAATTGTTAGGAACATGTAATCTATTATATGTTGCGAAATAAATGCCAGCTATTTGTAGAATATTTTAATATTGCCTTTGCATAGTCTAAATTAACAAGCCGTTCCCGTCTTTATGATTAGTTAATTAAGATGTGGTAGTCGGGAAAAAAAATGAAAGCGCCGGTGAAAGAATTCGATGAGAGTGAGATGAGAGGAAAAAGTAGAAAACCGTTCTGAAAACGTTTTGGAGCGCGAGCGTGGTATACCGTACACGCACATACGAGGAGAAACGAAGAAAGCGCATCAAAGTCAGTCTAATCGCGAATAAAAAAAAAGTATTCGTGATCCGACACCTCAAAGTGAAGAGCTGCCTATAGAATTGTTTTTCACTTGCACGCAGCCTGTTAATACGTTTCATCAAATTGATTCATATGCACTAAAAGCAAATCTTAATAGAAATTTGACGTTTATTAAAATGTTTTTACAACTGGCCAATAGATTAATTCAATTTGCTGAAGTTTCTACCTCGCTTATTTCATCGAAAGCATAATTGTCAGTATTGTAATTTAATTAAAATACTTCGTGCGTTTGTCAAACTAGCAACGAACGTAGTCATTACACTCGGTGATTATGCGTGTAAAATGTCGATGGCTTTTATATTGACAATAAATCAGTAAAGCAGTTGCACTTCGAAAGGACAGATTTGAGTGAAAAAGATTTTGTAGGTTAAGGAAAAGTGGGCGTCGAATATTTATGCCACTCGCCATTACGCACACGCGCGCGCGACTTTTACGTTCAAGCGCAGCCAACAGCATTGTACTCATATGCAAATATATGAAGTTTCTTGCCGTGATATGTACATTATTTTAATTTCAATTATTACAAAAGATGAATGCCTACACAGCCTGAAGACGAAAATTACCATTTCCTAATTTAAATAATCCATATTTGCGTCCGAAGAAACAATCAAAATCAATTAATTATAAATAAAACGAGCTTTATCGGATATGTTATAATACGATTAGATACTAATTTTCTCACATTTAATTAAACGTTTGTATTGACCTTACTACGTAAACGCATTAACATTGTTACATAATCGGTCGATCGCTCATTAATAAAAAAATCGCTTTAATTGTCATCATACTTAAGCGCCACGTGTTTTATAATAAACTGTCAGTGAAATTTAATTATAAGTAATATTATTGTCGAATTCATAAGGCTCATTATACTGACAATCAGGATTCCGTAATTATAATGAAATGACATTGGATTGTTTAAATTTGATCGAAGCAAATGTAAAGAAAAAAATGGCTTTGCTGAAGCCGTGAAGAGACGTGTAGTCGAACAATGCCCAGACAGGCATATCGCGGCCGGGACTAAAAGTAAAAGTTTCATCGCAACACGACACGTAATTGCGAATCCACTTGACGGGCGCCATATCGACTCAACGCATTATCATCTTCCCCACGGAACGTCGTAGAACAATAACATTGAATTGAACGCTTCAAAAATGAAATAAAAGCAGCGAGGGAATGAAAGAGGAGAGCCTAGAAGACGCAATCAGTCCGGCGAACTTACAATCGGTTATCGCTTGCAACGCTAATCATCCAACGTCGAGCTTTGACCAACAGAATATATCATTTTTCTTAAACTCCTTACATCGCGTGTACTCAATCGTTAAAACGTCATATCTCATGGACTATCAGTGTATGCTGGGAAAAAGTCACAATGTATAGATGGTGACAGTATCGATGTAGATCGAATCATTATTGTTGCGTCGTAATTTTTTGAAACCACGCTTAATTAGGAGTGAGTGAGCGAGCGAGCAAGTTGTGGAAATCCAGGCACGCGAGCATAAAGGATGAAACTCAGGTATTTTGCAGAGAAGAGAAGCAGCAGTGGCAGCAGGCTGCGAGCATTTCTTGGACGTGAGTCACCGGGCGCTCGTTCGACCTCCTCTCCAACAGATTGCCGGCAACCTGCGGCGGAGGAGCAACGGCGGCGCGCCGAGAAAAGGAGCGCCGCTGCGGGGGCAGAAGGAAGACAAGGAAGAGGAGGCGGCGGTAGTGGTAAAGCAGGCGGAGAAGGAGAAGGCCAAGGAAATACCTAGACGATGGTGAGCTCCCGAACTCCGGGCCTCAGGAGTGAGAGTCTGCAGGAGAGGAGTAGCTTCGCTAGCATCAACAACGGGGATCCGTCGTCCCTTGACGCCGCACTTGAACGACAACGGCCAAGGTATGTACAGCTCGAAAGAAGAAATAAATTCGGAATTCGTGTATATAAGGTGAGGATGTGCTTAACGTTTCCTCGAAAACGAAAAATTGCTCGCAACTATAGAACTATAAGCACACAAGCACAAGGATGTGCCGTTTGCGAGAAGTTTACTGTAAATTAGACATCCGCAATAAAAGAGGCAATACTTGGTATTTATTAATTCAATGCAAGATGTAACGAAATATCTTTCAATACACACACACACACACACACACACATATATATATATATATATATATATATATATAATTTTAAGTGAAAGGCTTGCAAGCATTCCATAATAACTTCTATCAGATATTAAAATTTCATATTTCCACCGATCTCTTACATAAATATTATGTGCTAGTTTTTTCTTCTTTATCATTCTTGCAGTTTTCTATGTTATCAATTATGGACTATTAATAGTAATTTCTATGGTAAATTTTTGCTTTAGATTTTAGAATTTTAGAGTTTTTTTCAAATTATAAAATAACGTATGTCTCGCCGGAATGGAGAAGGGAGGTTGGACAACCAATGAAAAATTAAAATTTCGTTATGCTAATTGCTGTTATGATTTCTTGCTTTTTAATTTATATTCTACGTGGGAAATAATTTTTTATATTATAATCGGTCACATTATATTTTGTAATAAATATAATAAAAACATTCTCACAGCTAAGTATATTGTACGTATTGTTGGAAATAATTATCTTCAACAAAGATATATACAAACCTTTAGTCAGAAATGTATGTCACGTCATGTCTTTTGTGTATTTTCTCTTGTCCCCGTGAGAGTTTTTGAGAGCACCTTGACATTCGTGTGGAATATTATTATGAACTCAGTGCAAAGAATCATTTTGTGATAATTTGAAGAGTTTTTCTAAAGAATTAACATTGGATGGTCAATTCACAATAATGCATATTTTTCTTTTTAATACAAAATTGACATTTATATTTATCACGTAAAAACTGAATTTTATTTTCATGCGCGTGTAATTCATACAATAATTCAATTCATACATTATGTACTACTATTCTTAATATAAAAAAAAGAAGAAATAAATAAATAAACATCACAGTGACTGATAACACAAATTTTACAGTGAAATAACTAAATTAAAATAAAAATATAATCATACTTTAAAATAACACGTTACTTTTACTTAAATACAAAATGAACTGCCAAAACAAACTTAAAATTACTTTATCAAATTGAATTAGTATATATTAATAGATAATTTAATTGGCTAATTTATGTTGAAAATGCATTTATGTAGTCATTAGCGTTAAGTTGAAATTTGTTTTTGATCCAAAATAAAAAAAATGAAAGTAAATGTATGAAGAAAGTTTTTCATTTTAGAAAGATTAATTAATTAGTTTTTAAAGATGATTTCACAATTAATTCAAATGTTTTTATATTTCTATTTTTAAGAAATTTATAAAAATTGTATTTTTCGTATTTTATCTTTTCGTAATACATATGACTGCTATGATGACTATATGATGCTATAAATTCGATAAACTATACCTATCATATCATATATCATATGATCATAAATATCATATCATATATATATATATATATATATGTCATATATTTATGCCTTGTGTATTTCAGCAAAAATTTATTGCTCAGTTCACTACTAACTATTTGTATTATTTTTTAAAATATATTTCAATAATCATTGCCTTATCAAAGTTAAATAGCTATTGAAATTACAAATATTAAAAGGAAGAGTAAAAGTTGGAATATACATTCATGGAAAAATAAAACATTCGCGACATGAATCTTATCAAATAAGGTATAAAATGAGAAAAATAAATGCAATGCACTATATGCGGCTGGGGGGGGGCGGGGGGGGGGGGGGGTATGTATGTAATAAATGCCAGTCTGTGTCAGTATATAAGGACTTGGCAATCGTTATACTAGCGTATATCTTTCTTCATTTTCACCTTCAGTACGACTATGCGCATGTATGAATTCATACATACGCGTGGATATACGCTACGTGCACAACACGGAATACACAAATTATAAATGTTATAAAAAAAAGTTTTTATAAGATAATTATCAACGTAATGTGAACGATTGTTGTTTTTATATATAATGCTGTACATATGACTAAAATATGATTAGAGACTTTTAATAATTTATTCTATATATTAAAGCAAAGTTTTCTTAACATTTATATATATATATATATATATATAGGCAGACAGATCAATGGATAAATAGATGAATAGATATGTAGATAAATAGATAAAAAGATACATTTGAAATGTCCTTAAAACTCTTTAAAAATTGCGAAGAACATAAAAATAAAAAAGAAAATTGTTTATCATGTCGTAGGAAACCATGTATCGAAAGTATCTATGTAATGCCTCCAATTAATTTATATACAAAAGTTGAACACTGATTTCTACATTATTTTAAAAAGATTTTTATTAATATTGTAATATAGTCGGTTATTAATTTATTAATCTTGTGCTGCTAGAACAATAATTAAATTTAAATGAACTAAGTATTATAAGAGCAATAATAATATCCTGCTTTTAACCATTATTTTATTTTGTATAACTTTGCTCGATGATTTTATTGTAAATAAAATATTGGACACTAACAATAAGGCCATTTAAATGCGATATTATGAGATAAATAAATCAATTATACTATAATAAAAAATTATTGTTGTTGTTGTTGTTATTATTATTATTATTATTATCATTACTATTATTTAACATTAACTATAATTTATTCTATAATTAAGATATTGATCGAATAATGTATAATATTTTCAAAGGCGAATAATAATTGAGTAGAAAACTATGCTATTCAGCAGTGATAATGTACAAGCTAAATAATTGCAGCAAATATATGAATACGATATATTCCCACCAGAACGATTTTTCGCGTTAACAAAAGACAAAAAAAAACGGTCATATGTATTACAAAGCAAAAAGGTGGTATCCTCAAAAAGAGAACAGTTGTTGGTACCGGTTGAGGTATCGATCGGTCGCGTGCACACGTACATTCATAGGTTCTGTTCTCAGCTCATCGACTTGGAGCCAAAGCGAGCCGACTTCACTGTCATCGTCATCGGTGGCGGGGACACAAGATTGCGGCCCTTATTCGGCCAGTCCCGTGCGCTTAAGCAACAACGCAGGCACTAACAGTACGGAACCCGGCAATGAACACGTGGACGTTATCGCACCCATCAGTAACCTCGCGGCCGACGACGAGGAGCGCTACGAGGCCTTCGGTATCATCGACGACACGGACTCGCCTCAGGGCAGTGGATCGCCGACTACTTCGCCAATCGCCGGTGCCAACCTTAACAGGTAATTGTATATGTCATTTGACGATAGGCGAGCGTTTACCGTTTGACTTGCTTCACTGCAAATTTAAAAAAGTGACTAAAAAGAAGTGTTTAGCAAAGGTGTATTATAACGGATGTGAGATACCCATTGAAAAAATTACCTTGCCGTTTAGGATTGTGTTAAATAAACGTTCGCAAAAAAAGTAAAATTAAATTTATAGTCCTCTATATCTATTTTGTACTCTACCCAGCATATTTCACTAGTAAACCAAATAATTAAACATTTAGCAGAAATTATGTGGCATACTAATAGATTGTGCTTACGAACATCATACAAAGCTTCCAATTACTTTACATTAAAGGTAATAATATAATAATATCGATATTTGATATTATTAGCCCAATAAAAGTAAATGTTGCATACAAATAATACAAGTACAAAACTTTCAAATATACCATCCTTTGTATAATCATACGTAAAATAAAAAATAATAATAATTACAATTTTTATTACATAAGACTATTTATATAATAAATTATAAATTTTAACAATACAAATATGGCATTATTTAAAATTTCATAAATTTAAATTAAATCTGTGCAGCTAATGGTGTTTTTTATAACTCTTAAAAAAATGCTCTACTTCAATAAAAATGATGAAAAAAATATTGGCGATAACTAAACAGTATGGTAAATTGAGAACAATAAAGAACATTTGTTCCCATTACTTGCACGCACATTACTACGAGTATAAAACGTTTTATGAGCTGGATTTATTAAGCATTTTAATAAACACAATTTCAATGTTTATTTAAAAATAAAAAGAAACATTTACAACAAATCGTTTTATTCAATGTATTTTGTTATAGTTTATCTTTAAAATTGTCACATTGAATGAAATTATTCAGTCGTGTCTTATTTCTTTCATATAAATTAGTTATTTACCGAATTAAATAAAAATTCGTGAAATTAATTTTATTATTTTCTTATCAAATTATCAAATTAATCACTTATATCTTTTGCACAAATAATAAAATATTCAGAAATATTTTTAACAATTTTACTTTATCACATAAAATTAATTGTTGGCAAACTTGATCAGATTCTCATTAAGATATTTGATAATTATTGCTCTATCATAATGCACCCATACGTGAAAAAGTATTCATGTAACATTTTTTATCGAAATTTCTGTCTACATATTACATTGCTGTCTTTCTAAAATTTAAATAATACAACAATAAATCGTGAATTGTTAAATTTAAAGCATTCAAAAAAATAAATATTTTACAATGCAAAATTTCTTTTCAACTATTCAATCAATAGGCATAATTAGACCATAAAATTAAGATAATGGTAAAATTATTATTAAAAATCAATTACCCACTAGAAATTTCTGTACTATAATGTATGTATTAAAACTTAATTCTGGTGATTAAAATATTTATCTTATTAATATTTTTTTGGTTATTTAATACACACATTAATTTTTTTAATTTAAAAATTACGATTCAATATAGCCATTTTAATTGCATTATGTAACTTGTAAAATTTACCATTTAATTGTAAACCATTTAATCTATTTTTCATTAAAAAAAATCTCAAAATTTATAAAATTAAAAAATTAAATAATTTATATTTTTTTGTAACTCAAAGACATTCTTACAGAATGTCTTGATTTCATAGTTATTACAGTATGAAAATGAATATTAATATCCGTTTAAAACAAATTTAAGATTAAATAAGTCGATTAAATACTATATAAATGAAACAAAGCAAGCTTATTACAAATAATTCATATTTCATATTTCTTATATTGATGCATTACGTCGCTAAGTGGGTCACATCTGTATTCCTGCAAATATTTTGTTAAAAAATATTTTCACAATGTATTTTAACACTTTTTATTCTTTTTATAACAAATATTACGTATATTAAAGATTTTAAAAGAATGTATATACTGATGAAAATAATAATAATAATGTGTGATATATATTATATATCTTATGAATTTATGTATTAGCAGTAATTCAGTATGTTAAAAATTTGTATAAATAAGGCATAATATAAGATATACTGTAAGTGTGAATATTTTCTATTAATAATATATTTATAACTTTGTGTATATTTGTATCATAAATGAACTCACGGACAACTAGTTATCCAAGATACATTTAATCTATAATGTATCGCTTAACTGTGTAATAATTAAATTGATTAATAAATAACCACTAAACTTCATTTATAGATGTTTGCTTGTTCTATAAGTTAAATTTGGCTTATAAAAATATAAAAATATATTCAAGTAATAAATACTAATATAATATAATAAATAAAATAATATTTTACAGAAATTAATTGTTAATGTAGATAATAAGAAATTCTTATTTGCAAATTAAATATCTACTAGCATACAAATATATTACTAGATATATTCGTATTCTGTTGTACTTGGGATGTATTTTGAAAATTACATACATATATAGATGATACATGATACACTTAGTAATATCTGCATACGGATTAGAAAATTGTTACACATTTTCAAATTAGTTTTATATTAATTTTCATTTTATTAATATTCATATTTAGTATTGTATAACATTACATAACTAAATTTAGTTTTGCTGAATATCAAACAGAAAATCCTAATTTAAATTTTAATCACACATTAATAAAACGCGTAATTATACGTAATAAAATTCGAAAGCACTGGAGGATTGTAAGAACGCCATATTTAGATTGAAAAAAATCAATATTTAATATGTAACATTGATATTAAGGCCACAATGTCCATAATTCGGATATGGTTAAATATTGTTGTTACGTACCATGAAAAAATACTAATTTATCTTTTGGATTAAAGCACGTAATCATGAAAGTAACAGAGCAGAATATCAATGCATAAATATAAATATATATATATATATATATATATATATATATATATAATACCATTCGCTACTCAATTTATTACTATGTACTTAATTGACTTTTGTTTTTAATAGTCAGTATTTTAAATTATATTTATAATATAACATTTGTTATATTCTATTGATTCAAATTCCAATAATATAATTTAACTAATTTTATGAAATACACAAATTATACCTGTCCAAACAAGAAATGTGCTTCTAATCCCTTATTATCTGTCCTATAACCATCTTAAGTACAGTTGATTCTTAGAACCACCACTTCCATTAAAACCTTTGTTCATCTTTGCCTGCACTCATGCTATAACATTGAATTCCCTCGAACCTTTTAGAACCGTTAATTTATAATATTTAAAGTCGAGCAACCTGAAATTACGTCAGTTGACAATAAACGTTGTACTAAACTGCAGTATGAAATGAGAACAAGTTACCTTAAAAAGTACTTTCTTCAAGTTGAAAAATATTTGGCTTTTAGTATTATCTCTTGTCAAGTAGATATATCATTTTAATTATCGCCATACATAATGATTCTAGTATCATACGTCGTGAACGTATATTTAAATTATATTCGCCAATCGTAAGTAAATTATTTGATTACGTAAGTTTATTATATCATGTGCAAATGTGGACAGATGTATAATAATACTGTTTGCGTGTGTGTATATGTGCATTCTCAAAAAATATATATGATCTGCAACAAACAACAAGATGCACGCATATGTATACAGAAGGCGATTATTATTTAACTATATATTATATATTATAGTCTATATTTGAAAGCATAAGAACTAATTTTTTAGCGTTTATTATGCATTCTCTACGCGTATAAAATACATTAAAATGTACATTAAAACACTAATTCTATTTCAATAGTAATTTTTATTAAATATATTTGTGCATATATAAAGCCTATTGTTTCATTTGAATTACAGAAATCCTCGCAGCCCTAATTCCATGCTTCTGGGAAGGCACACGTGGCTCCGGGCTTCGCTTGGCCGTTCACCGGCTAGGTAAATATATTTTATAAATTTAATATTAACTTTAATTCATATATATATATATATATATTCATACGAATCCTTATGAAAAGTAAAAACAAAAAAATATTAACGCGATTGATAAGATTACTGTGGCATTAGAAAATCAAGGAGGGAACCTAAAGCGTAACTAATGAAATGCCATCATTTTTCATTCCCACAGTACCAACAGGAAGCGGTTAAGTTCCAGTGCCTTGGCTAGGTGAGTACTTATAGCTACATACAAAATGCAAGTCGACAGACATTGAGCCTTAGCCTTACGATGATATACTTAACAATGAATCCAGCTTTATTGATCGTGTTATTGATTTTTATAACAATTTAATTTCGATAGGAGTTCACGATAAATTAATCATTGATTTAACTATTAAATTTTACCGTCGCAAAAAGTATGATAATTTAATTAATATTCAATCTTATCAATTATTATTAATTTTATAAATAAAAATAGATTGTTTAACTCGTATGATCGTAATAATATTCCATGTTTTATTTTCCTTCAATTGCATTAGCAATTTTATACGACCTTATCTTTTATTTATAAAATTGTATATGGTTTTATTGAATTCTGATTTTGCCACTATTTTGCTTTAATAAGTACTCCATACATTGAATGAAGGTTAACTACAGGCATTATCGAGTAAACGCCCCTATTGATAACCGAAACATCGTGAACAAAAAGACTTATTACATTATTTATTTATATTAATATACATTATACATTATTCATTACTTTAAAAAAAAAGATTGAATGTTGCAACAAATGTATCTCTTTATAAATATAAACGAATTTACATTGATTTCTTTACCAAATATCAATTAATAATATTTGTTATTTTAATATTTATAGTCAGCTCTACAGAAGCAGCAGTTTTAATAGTTCTGGACGAGGATCCATCTGCGATACAGCCGACGACGTCTATAGTGACGTTTCTTTGGAAGACGATGTTATTGACCTCAATCATCGGGTGAGTTTCACTTTGTATTCTTACATGCGTATATGTTTTCCCTTTTTTATTTCTTTTTTTTTCCACCATGTACGTACTTTTCTAGAGCCATAGGTTCAAACGCACTCATTTTAGTAGCTTCGAGAGATCTTCAAATGTGTTAAGATATATCGAAAAACGAATATTGCAGTGTTTCATTTTATATTCTAATGTATTTTTAAAAAATATGAAATATATTTCCGATTATCAGAAATTATTAGATTAAAATATACTTCGATCGACTAATAAAATATTGTTTATATGCATTATCTAGAATATTTTCATAAATTTTGATTATTTGAATAATGGAATTTGGAATTGCAGTAGAATACAGCTAGATCGTAATAAAATATTTTTGTATTTAATTCCCGTTGTAAACATAAGCTGCTTTATGAGTCAATCTTATGAATGGTGATACTATAGCTTTTTTCAATATTTAATTATAGAATTACATTATAAAGAAAAATGCATTATATAAATAATAAATATGGTTATTTTATTTTATTAAAGATCACAGCTTATTCTTAGAATTACTTTGCATTTCAATAGTTCATACACTTTGATAATCACTTCACAATATATTATTGCCAATTTAATACATATTTTAAGATTCTTTAAATATAAATACATTTAAGTAAAAAACGGGTTTTTGACAAATGATGTTGCAATAAGAAATGGATTCAAGTAAATATTTAACTCAATTAACTATTAATCCAACTTTATTATTAATATTACAGTACGCATAAGAAATGAAAAGTTTGCTCAACAAACTAATCTTTTCAAATGTTAAATTTCATTTATATAATTTATGATACTCATTTTTTAATAAGAATATTAAAAATAATATTAGCTTTATTACTACAGCTTTATTTTGTTAAAATTTTATCAGTATGAGTATATTTATATAAATATAAATATGTACATTAAATTATTCGGATACACAAATTGTTTCAAAACAATTAATTTTCGAAAAACATTTTGTTTATTATCTATATTCTATTGTGAATATACAGTATATAATGTATGAAATAAAACAAATATTGGCTTAACATGAAAATAATGAAGTTGCCAATATAGCGCCTAGTTCGTTATTCATTTTTATAATAATTTGCAAAAAAAATCAAATCCAAAACATCTTTTCGGCGTTAACATCACAAAATCAATTATTTCAGAAATCCTCCAAATTAACAAGTTGAAAAATGTTTAAGTAAAATATACAAGAATTATTTTTATAAAAATATAAATAAAAAAAGTAAAGAATAAAAAAATTAATAGTAACTAATTAAACAACCGAAATATGGCTTGTCCTGTTAAACCGAAAATACCAATGTTCGTTTGGCCTGGATTGCCAATTTTAGCCTTAATATGCGCTGCTATATATTATTACTTATATGTAATGTCGGAAGTACCGACAGGAAGACGACGATAATAAAATTGTGCAAAAGGTTTGTTAACTGTTGGTTTTTTTATATTAATGATTATTTTTTTATTACAATAATAAAATTGAAATAAGGAGCTTAAGCTTGACAACAAGATAAATATTTTAATTAATTGTAAATCAATGCATATAGAATCTTTGATTAGATGTTTTTCAATATATAATGTTTGACCTTTTACTTAAGCATTTTATATTTTTCGTCGGCTATGTAGAAAATATTGTAAAAAATATATTTTGAAACTTTTTATACCTCAAATTAACTCACGAATTTAGTTGTTAATAAAATTTAATAAAAGATCTGCTGAATTGCATGTAAATTGTCAAAAGCGAAAATTTTGTAATTTTACTAAAGTTAAATAATATAACGAATTTATAAAGAATTTTAAACTTTTTCTAATTTTAATTTAAAATTATTGATCCTTCAAATCAAATTAAACTTTTAATTTTATTTTAAATAATATAGCCATGTTATTATCAGTGCATTTTCATTATGTCACTAATATATTCATAATTTTGTTGCGTTTAATATTCAGATCTAAAAATTATCAAAAAATTTTCAAAATTTCTTGAAACCAATTTGTAGTATAATTCAGGCTTTTAAATATTTTTGATATTTAAAGTCCAATCACTCATCTAAAGTTATGTAATGGTAAAAAACAATAATTAACTAATAAAATAATAAATATATATAAGCTGTGTTATAATACATATCTATGTACATTATTTGCTATAATACATGATAATAAAAACTAAAAGTAAACCTATACTAGAAGTGCAAAATACATTTATTTTTTTTTATTTACTGGTTAATAAATATTTTGTAAAAACAATGTAGTTTCGTAAATGTATCCATTTACAAATGCATATGTTATGTTACTCTATATACTACATCAGTTTTTTATATAAAAATTAGATGCTCTGTTTTATCGACTTACATCCATATCAATTCTAATCATATTAATGAATATTTATTGTAACATAAAAAAAAGTTATGTAAAATAATCTCAAATTAAAAAAATTTTTTTTTTTTTTTTTTTTTTTTTTTTTTTTTTTTAATATTAATGTTAATTTTTTAACGCTATTCTTATAGAATAACAATAACGGAATAAAATGTATTGTTCATTACCAATTATCAATAATGCCAACGTCTAACTCTCAGGCATTATATCATATTTTTAGACAGGCGATAATTGGGTTGATAAAACAGTTATCTACTTTATACTTGCCGATCCGATTCAATGAAAAAAAAGAGCAACGCCAATAAATCACGAGCTGTCGCTTAATATAACCCAATTTCCACCATCTTTTGTGAAAATCTAATGATGCGCTGAAACTCGTTTTCTTAATAAACGAATCTTCGCAAACTCGATTAAAATAGTGAGACTAGCAGTAAATAGAAATGCGCGCGTACACGCAAGTCCCCGTCCATCCCCTCCACTCTATTATACCCCCTCTCTCTTTCTCTCTCTTTCTCTCTCTCTCTTTCTCTCTCTTTCTCTCTCTCTCTCTCTCTTTCTCTTTCTCTCACTCACTCGCTCTCTCTCTCTCTCTCTCTCTCTCTGTCTGTTCTTCCTCATGTACACTGCCATGTAGCTATGTGATATTTCGTATGATCGTCAAGTCACATCGTCGTCGTCGACGCGACAGTGAGCGCTGCCTACAATTTACGAATATAGAACCGCTAGTGTACTATCGCCGCCGAGTCGTCCGTATCCACGCCTGCTTTCTCTTCTCTCACAAAGAGGGGGGCAGAAAGACAGGAAGAAGAAGAGAGAGAGAAATATTTCACGCGCATATATATTATAAACAGTCCGTATCTCCCCCTGTGTATGCTTGTTTTTATTTATTTGTTTTTGTTTTACTTCGGAGAGTGACCGATAGATTGTGTATGGCTCTTTTCGTACGCTGCCGTCGTAGTTTTTCGTCAAAAAAGTTACGCCAGTAACTACGTGATCCGAGCGAAGAAATAGGGCTTAACGTTGTAATTACGAGCTGTGCGTGCATACGTGCGCGTGTGAGCTACATTTTGTTTTCGTTACGTTTCTTTTACAATTGTACGTGCTGCCAGTGACAAGCTTTTCCGCCGATTTGCTCGGGTCTTGTTGATTTTTTATTTATCTAAACCACATGGCTTTCTCCCGTGGTGCTTTATTTGTGCGTGCGCTTGCCCGCCGCGTGAGTTAACGATGCTACTTTGTAGTATTAATTTTTTAGATAGAAATACCTGTGAGTTTTTAATAATAATGATAATATGATAATTTAAAGAGTTGTCGAGATACAAGCTGTAATGATGTTAGTACATATGATGTGCGCGTATTGATTTTTTAAGTTTTGTTACATATTGTTTTAATGAAGCAAGAGCTTATAATTTTCACTTACTTCGAGAACCGTAAATGCACATTTTCACATTAGCAACAAATATATTAGATCAATTTAAATTAATTATAATAATTTTAATTATCTATAGAGCTTTGATTGCACGTTTGATGAATTTAAATTATAATAATTTAACCAAATTTTTATAATTTATACGGTTATGTTGTAAGCGTGTTGTGTATAATATATGTTTACAAGCAGCAAGCACGTTATTAAGAAATGAATTAATTAAAAATATATAGGGGTATCGAACATTATTTCATTTTAATTCAATGTATGATCAAGCAAATATTATATAAACTAGGAACTTTATCTTAACAGAAAAATATTTTTAACTCGATTGATAATATAATTCGATAAAGTAATCGCCTTGATGTAATTCTTTAAAATGGATTTAATTTTGAGTAATCTTCTTCTGATTTTGGATGTATTTTATTACTTAAAAGCATAACGCGATTAGTTATATTTTTTGTACAATCTTGGTAATGGATGGAGATGATTTGTGAGACATGATATTAGAACACTAAATTATTATAAAATCAAGCAATCCTACGATCGAAGCTTTTTTAATTGATGTAAATATTTAATGAATAAGTCATTATGGAAGTTAAAACTAAAAATGTCTTTCTCAACGAACTATGAATATTTTGTAATTAAATTATATCACCAAATTGAGAACCTTATTTAAGAGATTAAAATTTTGTATTCATACAGCGATTCCGAAGATTGCTTGATTTTCAGTACAGAATATACATTATATTATTACTACGTTTTTAGACTATTTTAATAAGAAAATGTTATTAATAACAAACAATGAAAATGTTCAAAATATTTATAATGTAATACATAAATAAATCCCGAGATAAAATTTTTCCGGTGAGTTATGTTTTAAGTTTTATTAACAATTTTTATCATAAAAAATCTTAATGAATACATTTATTTTCATTGATTATGTTTATTTGTTATGTAAGTATACATTTAGTTTGATAAAAATACAGTTATATTAAATCTGTCGAGCTCTCGGTCAGTTAAAAAAATTATTCATATTATTTTTATACAGAAAGGAATTATTAGAATCTGCAAAAATAAAGTTATTTTTCGCAAGATAAAATGTAATTTATAATATAAATATATGGTTTATTTGTATTTATTTATAACACAAAGAACGATTCGAAAATTTGTATATAGTATTTTACCTATAATATAAAAAAGTATTATTTATAATTGTATTTGTATAAAATTAAATGCATGTAACAGAGGTATAAATAAGATAGATTTTAATAGTTTTCTGCAACTCAAGTAAAGTTTATTACTCGATAATTACGTTAAAAAGAAAATTAAAATAATATTAGAAGGCTTGAATAAGCATACGCTTATTATGAATAATATTAATTATTAAGTATAGATGCATTCATATTGAAATATACGAAGCCATGCAAAGAAAGAAAGCATAATACGTATATAAATAGCATCTTATAAATTCGAATTCGCTAATTAATTTATTTTGTTGATTGTTGCTTTATATCTTTGCATTATAATGCTTTAATATCTTTGCAATTTGAATCAGTTTCCCGTTTTCGTTTCAAGCTAGGCGAAGAACTCGACAGAATCTCGACAGAAACGACTAGTAATATCGTGGGTGGTGGTGGTGGTGGTGGTGGTGGTGGTGGTGGTGGTAGTGGTTGTGGTAGTGATAGTGATAGTAGTAGTGGTATTGGTATTGTTAGTGATAGTGGTGGTGGTGGTGGTAACGACGGCGAGAACATTGGTGTTGGTCGGTAGTTTGGTGCCCGAGTGGCTTGTCGATAAGTCAGGGATGCCGTGGATCGCCAGGGTGTGAAACGGTGAGTCCCGTGCATTAGCATGCGAAGCGATGGAAGCGGCCTCGAAGGAGGAGATGTCCCCAGTGACGGGGTCGTCGTCGCCGCGGCGCAGTGATCGATGGTCTGACGGTTGTGGCAGCAGCGGACCGGCTTCCTTCGGTTACTGCAATAGTGACGGTTCGCCCGGCCTCGAATACGACCTCTGGGAGGGTCAGTTCCAGTTTCTCGGCGAGTCTAGGCATCAGAGTGAGCAGCAGCAGCAGCGCTTATCTGCCCATCAGCAAGTAAGGAACACGAAGATGAAGGAATGGCCCTCGGATTTTTTTGTTTCTCGACTGCGATTAATAGGGAAACTATTAAGATCGTCAGTGTGGAAGAGGAAGTTTCGTTCGATCGTTCAAAGTTTCGTTATACCTTTAATTTTTTTCTATAATTTTACTCGTGCTCATAGGAAAAATTGGATATTTTTAAAATTGACATGTGTATATATATATATATAATTATTATATTTATATATTACAATTATTACCTTGTAAATATGAATATGATTCGAGTATAATGTCTTCCAAGAAAGGAAAAGCTTATTAAATATTCGATTATTTATAATTTCTCCTCGATACTGATTGCCCCTTTCTTTTTTTCCTTGTATTATAATTTGAGATTTTTACAAGTTCAACAGGTTATTAGTATGCGATTCAATACTCCATAATTATATTTCCATTATAATAAATAAATACATTCCTATCTATATTTATAAATATAAGTAATACTACTGTGTATTTGTACTAAATAGTAGCACTGCATATTAGCAATTGCGGCTGGGTTCAACAAAGTTTAAATCGATATGTGTTGGTTCTTGAATAATACTGAAAGTATAAATACCAAACATATTTTATTATTACTATATTAGTTTAAAGCATTTAAGCATTTAAATTTTAAAAACACTGCAATCTTCTTATTAGCATATTGTAGACTCTTGTTTGCTAACAATTTTAAAAGACCAGGCGTTTAAATCACTTTTAAATCTATTATTATCACTCAACCCAAGAACAATGTTTTCTTTCAGGTTCAGATGATCCAGGAACAAATGCATGTGCTCGTGGATACGCACTCTGCAGGCGAGGAGAAGTATGCTAGGGTCAAGCAGGAGAATGCAACACTACATGTAAGGATATTAATGCTCGAGGAAGCGGCTAAGGATGTAGAGGCCAGAGCAGAAGAGAGATTGCAGGTATGTAGCCGTTCTTATTTTTAATTTACGATGTATTTACGATGAAACTGTTTCACAGTGGTAATATGCTTTAGTTTTGAAGCAACGATGTGTACGACAGTCTGATTTTGGCACATTGTAAATTTGTCTTGTATGTTTGTCTACATAGCTGTATATTTTAATTACTGATACACCGAATAAGTGTCGAATAATTTTTTTATCATATTAAATTATAAAAATTAAATTATGTAACGATGCAACCAATTTACCTTGTAATAATAATATTTCTTAAGAGCTTAGCTTGTTTTTTTATGATAAACATCAATATATTTTGCTGATATCGTAATGTTGTTTATTTAATTTAATGTAGTTTAGAAATATTATATCGAAATTGGCACCTAATGATCTTATCATTAGAATTGAAATGTGTAACTGATAAAATGACGACCATTTGACATTTTTTTCAACAGAACTTTATTATCTTTGTATCAATATATTATATTATTATTAACAGAAACGAATAATAATAATAACGAGAAATTTACTTCTTTAATATAGCTAATTATAATTCATACTCTTTAAATCATATTTACTAAACTCAAGACAATTCCTCGTGTAATGAGAATTTAAAATAAATATTTAACTAATTGAGGAGAGACATATTACACATTGGAATTTTAATTATAATATTCAAATATTTATCTATGTCTCGTTATTGAATTATATAGCAATATTATAAATATATTAAAAATATTTATTTTTGTACAAAAAGGATAGACGAATTTTTCAACTATGAAATACGAAATTTGCAAATTTGTGTTAAAAATAAGATAAATATAAAAATTGATGGTGTGTATTCTTTTTTTTTACAATTACATAAATTTATATATTTAAAGTTCTATTTTTAATTCCAAACTAATGAAAATTTACTTTATCGTTTAGATTGAGCAACGGAGACACCGAGATTGGGCAAGTCGACTTGAACGCGAGAAGGAGTTACAACTGGAGAATTGGGCGATAAAGTTACAATCCGCAGAACTTGAGAACACGCGAATACGAGATGAGACATCGCGTCTACGTGAACAGCTGGAGAAGCAACGCACGGAGAAGGCGCGACTGGAGTCGATCCTTGAGGAGGTGCGACTTGAGGTCACAGACGCGAGGGAATCGGAAAGGCATATGTCCCTCAATCTTAATGAGGTAATGCGAGCACTCAAGAGAGCCGAAAACGAGCTCACCCAGAGACTCGATGCTGAACGTAGGATGGAGGATATGACGCAGGAGATGGTGAACCTAAGGACACGAAACAAAAGTAAATTTATTCGTGGTTATTTTCTTGAAGCATTAAAATTTTATATGAATTTAAGATGCAGAAAGTGAAAATTCTTTAGTACTTTAAAAATGTTATTAGTTATTGTATTATTCAAGCAATGAAAGTATTTAAAAATTTTTAATGAGCACTTAATGAAAAATTAAAATAATTCCCATTAATTTCATGGAAATCTTTCTTTGATTAGAAGTAGCAAGCCTAAAGTAATAATAACTTTTAAATTCTTGTTTATGTCAATACCTGGACAATAACACGAAAATCATATAAAATATATTCCTACTTTGAATTCTTTAAACGTATTTATAAATAAAAACATCAATTTGTGATACTCTGTAGTAATTATTTATGCTAACCTAATAAATGAAATAACGTAAAAAAAATGGTAAAATATTATTTATAATATATATTTTCAGATTTAGAAGAATCTCGTGATGAGTTACAAGCAGCTGCTGTTGCTCTACAAGCTGGCCGTGAACTTCTTATGCCAAGTGGACAAGACCCAAACGACAATACAATTAATAGAAAAAATAGTCCAAGTCTTGCAACTGAATTACTCTTAACCAGGTCAACACATGATCAGGTAAAAAAATTTGTTTTAATATATTTTGAATATTGTCAGGATTTTTGTTAATTAATGAATATTAACGTTTTCCTCTTTTAGGCTGATGGTATTCAAACTGAGAAATCTAGCACTACTGAAATTTGTGATAATTTTACTACTCTTGCAGAGGTAAAAGAAATTCCTATAATAATTGATTTAAAATCTAATGTATAAAAATTCGACGCAAAACAATTATTACTATATGAAAGAAGTAATTAAAATGTGAATAATATAAGGCCTATATATTTTTAAAAATACATAACAAATCAACGATTACGAAACAAATTCGTAACTTTTATACTTTTTATCTTTTGAACAGTAATGATTTACGTATGCTAAAGAATTTTATTAATTTGTTTTTAATTTGGTTTTTAATCGCCATATCATTGTGTGTTTATAACGCAAAAGAATATTTATATAGATACTCATTTTATTAATATTTTAATAATTACAATTACAGAATGAATTATAAAATTTTTATTTTATATGCAAGCAATTTTTATATTGAATATTTTAGCAATTTATTAAATTTCGCCCATCAAATAATCGAATCTTTTTCAGGCAAAACAAGCTTTGAAAGAACAACGTGAAGTGAACACCCGTCTTCGATCATATATTGACGGCATTCTTTTAAACATAGTTGAAAATTATCCCCAACTATTAGAAGTGAAGCAGCCACAGTAATGCAAGAATAATATTCCACTCAATACTGATTAATATACATTTATGAGTGCCGTGTGATGAGACAGTAAATGAATACAACCACAAGCGTTGCAATTTGAATGTATAGCTATCAAGATAATTAGAAGAATTGCTTGCATAAGTGCTTACGGCAAAAATTAAAACAAATATTTTGTATATACAAATGCATTTGCAAGATGAATCGAAGAAAAAAAAGAATTTTTAAGCCTACTTCATCTTTATCCTATGCTTCGGCTAGTAAAATCTGTGATGGGAGAGAATAGAGCTTCGTATTAATGTATATACGATTATTAATATTATTGTTTTACTTTAAGCAACTATTAAAGATCTATTTTTCATGACAACAAAGTTGTAATATGTTTTATCATTTCCATAGATTCCTTATACCTTTTCTATTAATTTAACCTTATTTTCATAATGGTATTTTAATAACGATATTTAATAAGAAATAACGTTATTATAATAGTAATAATAGTAACAACGATATAAATAATAAATAAATGAAAATAATAACGTGATATATTAAATAATTAATAGGTAACCTCGTTAATACCGTCACAGTTTCATATTCTATATTAAAATAATTGACATTTATTTATGTTTAAACATTTAAAAAATATTAAAATAATTTGAAAGTTTTTAATAAATTTTTTATTCTAAGTTTTCATATATAAAATGAAAATATATTTCCAATTTAAAATATCACATTAGAAATCGCATATTTTAGTACTTATATTATATTTCTTTTTTTTTTAAATAAACCATTATATTAGTACATTATAATGAATGTACGGAAATATGATTGACCATTTTCATACGGATATTAACATTCACCATTTTCCACCAGCACCATTTCTTTATGTACGATATTCTCGCACATTTACAAACATACTTATCCATCATTAAAACTGATTAAATATCGTATTTTATTATTTTATCTATAAACAGACGATAATTGATGAAGAAATAATTTGATGATATTTATTATGTATATTTGTTTATATACTATATAAATATTCAGTAAATATATATATATATATATATATAAATATATATAGACAAACCCAAGAAGCGTTTAGATACTTAATTTAATATTTTTATTGAATTACGTTAAAGCAGATTCATTATTTGTATTAATTATTATCAAATAAAGATCTGCTATATGTAAATCAAATGAAAATACAAAAAATCAATATTAATTGTAAGTAATTGCTGAAAATATAATTATCGATTTATATTAAATCGTCTAATCATGTAATTTCTATATATATATATATATATATATATATATATATATAGGAATTGCATATATATATAAATTTATAACCAGATAACTATATTTATACGTATACAATAATAAAAGTAATAAGCATCTGAAGCTTATCGTGTATTACACCAAGTGGGTAAATCATAGCACACGGTAAATTAAGATTTATTTTTTAAAACAGAATTCCTGAAATGAAACCTTCCTCTTTCAGGCTTCAATTGGTATATATCTCCACTTTTTAGGATAAAGTGGATGATAATTTTTTAATAAAATTTCATATTACAACTTTCGATATGATTCACGATTACTTATTACTTTACAAATGTAAATCAATGCGATGCATAACGTGGCTCTGCAATAAAGCCTCTTTTGTCTGCCTATAAAAATTTATAGAAATCTGTCCATAGTTTTATATTTTCGGAGCCTAACCCGATTATATGGTAGAGAGTTTATAAGGCTGTGGTATTGCTATTCCATTACCGTAAGCGTACTTTACACGGTAAGCAGTATGCTTGACGGATTAATATTAAATATTGGCGCACACCGAACGAGAGATAAAAGTCGCTATTTTGTCCTCTTTTTTTCGAGCTGGTAAATTTTGTCATTCATAAGATTAAATACATTCTAATCATAAAATGGATCGTCGTGGGCTCGTTATGTTTCTAAAGAAGTCTGCATATAGTCCATTAATTAGTACACGACTATTATTCGTCTTTAAAATGGCGCGCGTGGAGCATTATGGAAATAACGAAGAAGAATCGTCGTCACAGAGTGTCGAATATTTAACACTACTTATAAACTCTTACAACGGCTTATTAGAAAAAAATTTAGTTTCTTTTTATCTAAAAAATTGTAATATTTAAGTGTAAGAGGTGATATGCAGGCCCACCCATTCAATGGCCGAAGCATTTACACTAGCATTCCATGAAAGTACAGTTGAACCTGTTTGGAGGCGTCATCTTGATAAGCATAGTAAGTGTCGTTTATACTTGTAAAAGCGTCATGAATACGTTCGTAAAAGGAGCGGTGGTATGTAGTAGTTCTTGAGGAAGGCTGGAGAAGTCAAAAGAAACCACCGAGATGATATGGTTACTGACGCGTCAGGATTGCTAAGCCCCAATCTTATTGGCGAGTGTTTATCATGGGAGTGGGGTAACATATACCAGATAATTTCGTGGATTCGTTGGCACGATCGCACAAGATCGCACAATCTCCAATATCCGTGCTACCAAACTGACCAAGAGAGTGGTTTATCCAGCTGTTGTTTAGTGTATTATACGAGGTGGGTATTTTAATAATTTATTTATTGTTAATTTCACAATGCACTTATTAAGCTGTTATTATGCTATTATTATGCTGTTTAATATGAAAGAATTCTGAAAGAATTTGCCGAGCGATTTTGCCGGTATTTTTAATGTATTTATATTTTTCATAAATGTTGTGATTGTTTGATTTTAGTTTCAATTTGGTTAAAAGCTTTTTATTTTTTCAAATTACGACAAAAATTTTTTAATCTTATAATGTCGATAATTATAGAAAATATATTTTTTTTCTCATAATTTCGAACTCACGAAGATATGAACAATTTCAAACTCTTGATTAATTTATTTATATAGACTTAAAATGGAAATTAAATATTTTAAATGTTGAAACTTCCTTAAATATTGCATTAAATATGAATAGTTACGTGAGAGTTAAATGAAATCTTTTTGTATTGTTCATGTGAATGATAACTTCATGTGCATGGTAATACAATTTATACAATTTATTGGTAAACAATTATTGATCATTTACTCGAAGACTTAAAGGATTATGAGTTATTATTCATTATTTAAATTTTGAATACAATTAATTTAGTTGTTTTGTATCAATATCAATGAAATCAATGTCATCCAATAATTAATATACATGATTCGCTTAATGTTTACAATTGTAACATTTGATGAAAATAATCTGCAAATAGATTTCACAATTAAAACTAAATATACATAATTTTTGTAAATATGTTTAATAAATAATATTTATAAAGATTATTTTTAATATATATCGTATTATTTTTAAATACACGAATAGTTGTTTTCACGTAAATTTTGTTTATTTCATTTTTTGGAATTTTTAAATCCTAAAATCGTGTACGCATGCACGCCGATTTACCCCCCACCCCCCACCACTGACCAAATGTAAATTAAAAATATTTAAAATCTTTCATAAATGTGATCAAATAACGAGAAAAAATACTTTGAAGAAGAAACATATTATAAGAAAATTATTTCAAAAAATAAGAAAATACCTACTAGTTAGAAACTTATACTCTTAAAAATTAGTAAATTCTATATTGCATAATAATGAAAATCAAATACATAAAAAATTTCTACTTTATGGATTTAAAATTTTCTTAACTCTTGATTTTTGTAATTTTATATATTTTAATATCTTCATCAATATTTAAATCATTACAAATATATAAATTAATAAATATTAAATAATTTAGCAAATAAAATTAAATAATAAATCAGTTAAACATGCAGACCTAATTTTTACTAATTATATTGTAACTGTGGAAAATAAAATGTTTTATTGAAAGTATTTGTAAAAAGTCGAAGGAAAAATTAAATTTTCCACTGTAAAAATGATATTTGTTAAATTTTAAGATTTTATTGATTTTAATATATTTTATTTGTAAATTATGAATTCATTTTATTTATAATAAATTATAATGTCATTTATAATTATTGTTAAATTTCTTATGACGTTTCAACTAATTTATAAAGAAAACTTCAAAATAATTTAATATTAAGAAACTTGCACATATAAAAATCATATTTATAAATTGTTCATATAAATCCATATAAATTGAAACATCTTCACTATTAATATTATTATATTTAAGATAGAACTTCATCATTTTCAAGAATGTGATATTTTCCATAATTTAATAATAATGATTTTATACCATCGATGATAATTCTAATATTTTATACATTACTTACTTTTTTGATAAATAAGTAAATTGATGTGAAATGTACGTGAAAGTGCAGTTTGGTAATTAGAAAGTTAGTTGGACTATTTAGTGCTTAAGTTATGGAAAATATTGATAGTCTTATTATCGATTTAAAAACCTTATATTTAAGAAATTAAGGTATTATTAATAAAAATAATGTACTTTCAGATGTAATTTAGAGATAATTTTCAAATCGTGTTTTCAAACAATTTACAACCAAATATGTGAAATTGTATTATTTTTATCTTCTATAACTATAGATAACTATGTATAACGATTCTTTTATTATCTTGTAAAGATTAAACTTCTTAATGTAAACCCTCAAGATTAGATTTTTTACAAAGTAGAAGCAATATTAATAATTTTATTAAATTGTTATATTGTTTATAACTTTGAAAGAATTCGCGTGGAACTTTCAATCTTTAAATATCTATTGGTGTGTTTGTTGCTTATCTTATTTCAGGTGTTTTGTTAAATAACATATTATTCTATGTACTTTAATGTAAATATTCAATATGAAATAAATAAACATTAAACAAGTATCTTCTTTTAAAAATCTTTTTAATCATTAACATTAATTATGTTTTGAATAATTTGAATAATTATCTGTGACAAAATTAAATTAAAATTTTTAAATTATAGATTTAAATGATTTAAATAAGAATTTTTTAATGAATAAAGCTAATAAAACTTTATTTTTTAATTTATAATCAAATGAAATGATACGTTAAATATAATAAATAGTCTCATAGAATAAAATGTAATATGTATTTTCTAAAGTATAACTAAAATCTTACTTATCGTTCTTTTATTTTATATTATATTCGACAAAATGTTTCAATATTAAAATATTATTTGAATATTAAAATTATTATTTCATTATCTAACATTTAATGTTTTTTAAATTTATGTGTTCGATGTATTTATCTTTCACAAATAATAGTTGTAATAAATGATATTTCAACTTAAATAATTTTCATTAAATTTTATATTCTTTTTAAATATAATTTATATTCTTAAATATAATTTTTCAACTATTACATAACTTATTTATAATTTTAATTTTTACATTTTCGTTATCGGCTACTTTAATTAAACAATTCATATGTAAATAAGATATTTGATATTCTTAAAAAATATCTTAACGAACTAAAACAAAGGTTAAAATATGAACTTTGTTTTTATAATTGATTGAATCATTATATATCGTACAATGCAGTAAATGGGCTCATTTATTTATTAATAGAATGGATGGAAATTGTAATGAATGAATTTGATTTTTATAAATGTAAAATTTTATTGTATATTAAACATGTATATATAATTTCTTTCCTTTTAGTATAATGTCGGTGAGTCTTAAAAGTGTTCTAATCAGTGATGAAGTTGATTCTAAATGCGCCGAGTTATTAAGGAAATATAAAGTTAATGTAGTAACAAAATATAAACTAAAAAATGATGAACTTATTGAAGAACTTAAGGTAAGTTTTTTATATCAATAATATACCTATTTTCACGATAAACTATTATTTTACTCAATAAATTATAAAATAAATTTTTGTAAATAAATTTTTTTTACTTTTTTTCATACTTTCACACGAAACAAATGTATAATAAGTACGATTTTTTATTTCATTCCATAATTTAATTAATTCCTTATTTAAAACGTTATGTATACTTATTTAATTTAAAGTCCTGTTAAATTTATCCAGTACACATATACATTTATTAGTTCACAAAGTTTATATACTTGTTTTATAGTAAATAATTATATGATGTATATAATATTGAAATATTGAAAATATTATTATAATACAATTGATAAAGATCATATAATTAGTTATCATCATTTTTTATTTTAAATTGTATTATTTTATCTCAGAACATACTCTCAATTTAAAAGAATACATAGCTTGGTAAGAATATAACGTACGCATTATAGTTATTGGTATTTTATATTTAAAAAATTCTATTAAAAAAAATGTATTGAAAGCAATAATACGCTATTTATAATATATTTAGATTCGAAAATATTTCTGGAAATACTCATAAAACGTTAGAAATTAAATGAAATTTACTAATCTTATCATTGTGTTCAAGTAATAAAACTTTACAATACAAAATAATATAAAATTATTATTGTTCAAATAATAGTAAAATTACACGTAATAACAATAAAGAGCAAAAACAGAAATAAATAAAAATAAAATTTTAAATATGTTAGATCTTCTGAACACTCGCCAAAGTATTACTCGTCTATAGTGTTTCTTCATACTTCGGTTAAATTTTATAATATACTTTTAAATAAATTATAGACAGATAAAACAAGAAAGTGCGAATATTATTTAATAGTACATAGTATTTCCTACATTCAGACCTTCAAAGTGAAGGATTAAATGGCGAAAAAAATCTATTCATCGTCACTGAGAATTTTACTATTGTACGTAATATACATTCCAAAAAAATTATTGTATTTTTCTCTATTTTAAATCTATAAATAATTATGGAATATAAATATAATATGTTTGAAAGTGCAGAATAAAATCAAAAGACAGTTATAAAATAAGTTATTCAAATATATGAAATGATAATTAGTTATATAAGCGCATTTAGAAACATATATAGTTTTATTACAGAGCCTAATTAATCCACAATCACTTTTCCCTTAAAATAACGACATCGAAGAATAGTACGAGAAGGCAAAAGTTCTGGGGAACTTATATCGAACCATGGATCCGAGAATAGAACATTTCAAATTTGTTACATTGTAATTTTTATTAAATTCATTCAGGTCTCCACATATTAAAAACGATGTTTTTTTAAATTGTCGATATATTTCTTTGCAATTATGTATATAATTAAATAAATTCTGGCGTAATAGTTTTTATAGCATAAATAAAAAGATTACATTTAATTACAGAATCATGATGGCTGGATCGTACGTTCAGAAACTAAAGTTACAGATGATATAATAGCTACAACATCAAAGCTTAGGATTATTGGCCGTGCTGGTACTGGTGTTGATAACATTGATATATTGGCAGCCACTCGTAAAGGAATAATAGTGATGAAGTAAGTATATTATATTTAATTGAAAAGAAATATATCGGCAATTTAAATAAATATACACATATCACTACTATATTCTCTAATTTACTACCCAAAAATTATCCGTAACATTAGAATTTGATGCAAGCTTCTTCGAGAGAAAAAAATGTCTGATTTTTTATAATATACAATTGTTTAAAACAGTTACCCAATTAAACAATTATAGAATTATTTATATTTAAAATATTGTTTTTTCAAATTTTTTTTATTTAAATTTTATATTGCAGACTAAATTTTCAAATTAAAAATACTTTTTTAACAATACCTTTTCAATTGTTATATATCTATTATTTTCATTGTGCATGAAGATTTTTTATCGAATTTATAAAATTAGATGTAACTTTTTGAATAATTTGTTCCTCTGTAACTGAGGAAATTGCAAATAAAATAATACAAAGATCAGTTAAGTTTTTACTATCTATTTTGCGTATCTCATTTAAATCCCATTCAATTTGCAACATTTTTGTCTCATATACTTTAAAAAACTTTTTCATTCTAACACCTTTTATATTAACTATAAAATATTGAATGTTTCGAATCAAAATAAAAATTAAAGTATGTTAAATTTAAAAAGATTAGTTATTTTACTTTTTAATGAGATATCGAGTAACTCCTTCGATAAGTATTCAAAATAACAATTGTGTTTTTGTTAAAATTTTTATATAAATATCCCATATAAATATGTGATGAAAAATTAATATATTTAAATTTTATGCAGTTTATGTATATATTTTTTTATTATAATTGTTTTGGAATTTTTATACTTAGTTATTTGTAATTAAGTAATGTTGATACTGTGGGTTTCATGATGAATATATCTATTGATTTCGTATCATATAAAGTATGGTTATTTAGATATAAAATTGGGTAAATAATTTTTGATTTTCTATAAATAAATTTTACTAATTTTAATTTACGTAAAAATTATATTTCAACGGTTCAGATTGTTAGATTGATATACAAGTACAGATCTATCTATCTATCTATCTACATATATATATATATATATATATATATATATATATATATATTAAATGAAAATTTAATATATTATTTTTAAGAAAGGAAAAGTAGGATCTTTTGTTTCAAATTAAACTATTAAAATAGCAAATCTACAATAGAGTAAACTATTATTTTTGCTATTTATATTTAATGGCTTAAAATTATTTATAATCCTTAAATATTTAAAAAATAATTGTATAATTATTATTACTATTAATATAAAAATGACAAAATTTTGTTAGCTCACCCGGTGGTAACAGTATTAGTGCTTGTGAATTAACATGCGTGATGATTTCGGCCTTGGCGCGGCACGTAATGAAGGCTAGTCAGTCTTTGAAAGACGGCAATTGGGACCGCAAACTGTTCGCGGGTAGTGAACTCTTCGGTAAAGTTCTTGGTATCATTGGCTTTGGTCGCATCGGTCGTGAAGTCGCCCGTAGAATGCAATCCTATGGCATGAAGGTCATAGTTTTTGACCCATTTCTCACTTCTGAGCAGGCTGCTGAATTCAATGTCACTCTGCATAATTTGGATGTTATATGGGTTACCGCCGATTTCATTACTGTGCATACGCCTCTTAATGTGCAGACCAAGAGTAAGAATTACATTTTGCTTTTCTAAATTGAATTTTTTAATTTTTCATAATTTTATGAAAATCTATCGTTCTCTGATCATTGTCAAATGCAGGAGCGCACGCAAATTCGCCTAAAAGTTGCGCATTTATAAATTAACTTTTCTTTCTAGATTTGATAAATTCTGAGACTTTAAAAATGTGCAAAAAAGGCATTTATATTATAAATGTAGCACGAGGTGGTATTGTAGACGAAAAAGCACTTTTGGAATCAATTAAAGCAGGTCATTGTGCTGGTGCAGCTTTGGACGTTTTCACCGAAGAGCCTCCAAAAAATCCAATTATTCTTGAACTTATTAAGCATCCCAATGTTATTGCGACACCCCATCTTGGTAAGAACCAAACAAATTATCAATTTATATGTATATTATATTAAAAAAATAAATATAATTTCTTTATAATATTCTTGAATTGATTTATATTTTTGAAAAAGTTTTTGCAACAAAATTACAATTTTTTATAATGTCGAAACTATAAATAAGCAATATAATGAAGATACGAATATTTAAATACATAACGATTATCGCTAAAAAATATTTTCATTAATCTTTATACATATGCACGTATTATACTTGTAATAACTATTTATAATTTATATATTTTATACCTCTTTATCACCATAAAAATAATTTATAAAAATCATAAATCTAATGTAAATGAATTGTCAATTTTGTACTTTTATTTGTAGTAATATGCTAAAATTTATTTTGGAATATATAATATTGTCTGTTTTATTACAAATTTAAATAAACAGCTATACATTATGTTCTACTTGTAATAAGAAATTGTCGAAAATTTATATCATTAATACATAAATTAATAATAAATTAAAACATAGGAAAAGAAAAAAGTTATTAATTAAATAAAATACATAATATAGGAGCTAGTACAGTTGAAGCGCAGATACGTGTTGGCACTGAAATAGCCGAACAGTTTCTGTCAATTTCTGGTTTAGCTGCAGAGTATCCTATCACTGGAATTGTTAATGCTCCGGCGATAAAAGCAGCTATCAAACCAGAAAATAAACCTTGGATAGAATTAGGAATTCGATTAGGAAAAATACTTAGTAAATTGGTGAATGCTAAATCTCATATTACGATTGAAAACAGTATTCATGGTTTGGATGACATAAATGAATCTTTCTTTAATATTGCAATTCAAGCTGGCTTCCTACTTAATATTTATGAAAATGTGAATCTTGTAAATGCTTCGGTTCTTGCTAAAGAATGTAACATTCAAATCAACACACTTCTCAAGTATTCTTCTTGCAATATTATTTCCCTCAAAGCTGGTGATCATTTAATTACAGGTATTTATATCAATTTTTCTAATTATTATAACATATAACAGATATGAAATTCAAGCTTAGATTATGCACATATACGTTTATTGATTATATTATATTAGATAAATTTGTTGCGTATATTTAAAAACTTTATTTATGTATTAATCATTTATAAATACCAGTATAAGACAACGTTATATGAAATAATATTCTAACATATAATAATATTTTACTTACTTCATAGTAAATTAACACACGTATAAATATCTGTTTGATCATAAATTCATTAATTTAATTATTATGTTGCATCTCTATAATGTCTCTTTCCTTTTTTGCAGTTACATAATACATGAAAGTGTTTACGTAATTGTAATTTATCTATAAATTCCTGGAATTTTCCAATATAACACTATTTAATATATTTTTAAAAATTAGTAGTATTGTAGGACTTTTATACAATAACAATTTATACAATGAAACCGAACATTAGGTATCTAAACGTATAATATTATACAACTTATAGTATTAAAGTTTTCGTTAGAATATTAATATTTTCATATGATTTAATGCTTTGAGCATTAAAATAAGTAATACAAAATTTATGTAAATTTATAATCTTCTAAATTAATGGTGTGTTTTAATTTTTCTAGGCACAATACGTGGAGACAGAGCTGTTTTGTTATCGATCAATGATTCGATTTTTTCCAGTGAAGTTTGTCTACCGGAGCATACATCACTTTATTTAACGCATGAACTTGAAAATCTATCAGAAATTCTTAATACTCATAGGCTGCACAAAGTGACTGTAAACAGTATAAATCTTTCAAATAAGTGGGTTCTTGTTCACACAAACAAACCACAAACTCTCCCTGTAAATGGCATAAAGTATTATTAAATTCGTTTTAAACATTTGTATGTAAACGCATTTTGAATACATTATAAAACTTTTTAATATATATCATACTAATAATTCAATATTTTATGATCAAATTTTTGAACAAAATACTCAATTTTAAACATATTTGTAGAAATTTGGTCATTTCAGCTATTAAATATGATATGAAAATATTGCATCGATATAAATTTAAATCAAATTCTTTTATTTATTAAATAATATGTTCTAATTTATTTCTTGCAATGTTTAAAAATGAATAAGATGGCTTTATAAAAAGTTTTGATCTTATATATACATATATACTATACATTGACACAATTTATATTATATTTTTATTCGAGTCGAGTGATTTAATTAATAATCAAACCAATAATTGAATTATACATTTGTAAATGATAATGTTTCTTTTATAATATATTTCGAAAAATTAATATTTTCAAGAGTATAGTGCTTATTTTTCTGCGTTAAAAAGTTTATAAAAATTTTATTATTATTTCGAATTTAAATATTCTATCCAGAATTATATAAATATTTCATAAATTACTATGAAATCTATTAAATATTATAAATATTATACGAAAAAAATGAACTTCTTAAACAATATAATTTGAAAAATATTTATTATTTGATTAGACATATTGATTAGAAAATGAATTATACTTAATAACTTATAGATAGTTTTATTATTTAAATAAAATTAGCACACAAATTTTTAGAGGAATTTTTTTTTAAATTCAACACGATGAGCATAAATTTATAAAAATTATTAATGTAACTTTTAATTAATTTTAAATATTTATTGAAAATGATAAATTTATTTTATGACACTGATGATAGAAAACATAACGAAAACATTTTATTTCTTGATTTTAAAAACTTAGATAAGAAAGCATAAACTCAGAATTAAAATTCTATTACTAATGGATTATGACTTTAACATATTTAAATATTTTTTTTACAAACAACCATATCGTGTTGCCGAATTCTTTATTGCATTTATAGAAGGGATTGATAAGTATGTAGATGGTATTTTGTGATCTATGTGTTTTGTCAAAATTGTATCTGTTTATGAAAGTACCAAATTTATTAATAAATTGCACAAAAAATGTTGATTAATCTCTTTTTTATAGACAGATTTAGACAATCATCAAGCCTTTTGAATACTTTTACTCCCCCTATGACATTTCATCACTTATCTTGTCTCACTTTTTTTCCTTAAATACGGTTTTATTTCTAATAACATATACAACTTATGTTATAAATTGTTGCATGTAAAAGTTACAATAAAAATTAAAGTACAATTTATCGTTGCTGTTTATGTAAAATAATTGTCAACTAAATTCGTTAAATAATTATTGGAATTTTAATAGACAATATCGCATGATTATAATTAAATATATACCTATTAATTTTGTTAATAAAATTAATTTGCCTAAAATTTGTTAATGAACTATCAGCTTGTTTTAATTGAAATTTGAGAAGAAGCCAAAAGTAATCAAGCAATCAAGAAGTTTAGTAAAAAGTACAACCTAGAAAGTTTTCACAATTTGTAGATGGAAAAAAAGAGAAAATTATTTGAAAATGATTACAAATGTACTTTTATTATTATTCACAAATCGCCATCATAAGTTTTTAATATTTCAGAAATTAAAAATTTCACTTTTAACAATAAATGAATCTATATGCAACGAATATATATATTGAAAACAATCTGTATATTAAAGCTCGATATCGTCGCAAATTCAATATTCATCCAAGTCGTAATGTTTGCGCCTATTTTCTATATAGCGTATGCTTGATGCTATTAAGGCTAAAAGTTTTAATGCTTACTTATGCGGACTATTATCAACTCATAATCAATAATTTATAGACTATATAAGTTGCAATTTATGGTCAAATAGATTTACCATCAATCGAATTAACAATGTATAATTATACTGCACATTAAACACTATTTACTGAATAAATACGCTTATAAATAACTTTTATAATAGTGTAATTAATTATTAATAATAATTTCGATTATTATATTAAAATATTAAAAAGTAAATAGTATCTATTCACTAAAATTCTTTTTTCTTAATTAATTGTTTATTTATTGGATAGTTGACTTATCGAAAAAAATTTGAACTATATGATTAAAACATTTTTGTTATTTTTTTATAAGATTTTTGTATAAGATAAGAAAGTTATATATAATTTGTATAGTAAATTCTGTAGAATAGTAACAATGAAGTATTTGTTTCCATCAGAAAAGTTATCTTTTAATGCATTTGATTATAAGAACTAGCGAAAGCTTTAAAAAACTGTTCAAAACTTTCAATATACTTGTAATATTTTTCTAAGGTAGTGAAGTAGTAGAACACAAGAACTTTGTAAGAGAACAGTTCAGCGATTGCAACCAATATTGGCGGTACATGTAAGCAATAAACTAAGAATCACATTTAAAGCTTGAAGTTAAGTTCATTGGACTCTAAAAATGATAACTAATATATCCATATTCCAGAATCAATCAATAACAATAAAGATAATTGAAGTTTTCTAACTTAAAAATATTATTTTTTAGTTCGATAAAATATAATAAAATATAAAGGAAATAATAAATATATCATATAAACAGGTTATTAAAATTTTATTTATATATTTAAATCGTATACTAATACTTATGAGATATTTGCTATTTAAAATACACTATATCAAGTCACATCATCTTATTAAAAACTAATTAATAACGATAGTAGCAATATCACGATTTTCCAAAATAACCAAAATTAAAAAATAGTTACTGATTTGTACAAACTATTTATTTTGTAAAAAATCCCTGTTTTTATTTTTTAATAAGTTTATAAATACTATTAATTGATGTAGTGTAAATATTATACATGAATTACATGATTAACTTATATTAAAATACTGTAATGTGGATTTTATGGCACGCTACTGCTACTCTTTAATATTCAAAATAATTGTATCATTCTTGTTCTGTTGCAATTGTAGTAATTTCGTCATTACAATTACCATGTAAACTTGATGGTTCATCTATTATATACATCTCTTCGTCGGGAATCTTGAATAAAAATAAATGGAAATTTATTTTAATGTATTTATTATAAAATTTTAAACTGCAAATTTTAACTTGGTACAAGAATTTATTTGTAATCAGATAATTTTATTAACAAAAAATTAAGGAAACAATTTAAAATACTTAAATTAAATGTTTGTGTTATGGATAATTTAATTTTATTTATTTATTAGAAATTATAGAAAATAATGGAAAATAAAAATAATTGAAATATTAGTAATTATGTCCATATAAACATTTCTCCACGGTTATAAGTATATATAATGTCAAGGTCAATTAAAGTAAGCCAATTAGGGGTATGCATTTATCAATTTATTATCATTATTATTATTATTATATTTATGATATATAGAAAAATATATATAATTTTAGCAAAGCAATATTCAATGTTTAGTATGTAAAAAAAAACTTATATTTTTAATAATATTTATTTAATAATATATCGACTTTATTTCAAATTGTTCTTTTAGTCAAAGTGCTTATATGTTCTATTATAATTTGTAATAACGGGGTTTACGCATTACAGTAATAATATTTTTTATTTTCCATTACACGGGTATTGTGTTTTTATACATTTACTTTCGATATGTACATTAAGTGTCTATAACAAAAATAATTTATTAAAATAGCAAATTCTATTCTTTAATAATGAAAAATATATAACTTTTCAAAGTTATCTTTATTCTTATCTAGCAGGTTTTTCAAAAGATATTGACTTTAAAAATCCATATTTTTATTTAAAATTGGATTTGAATTTATATTATTTTAAGATCGTTTTTATTTTATTAATATAAAGTACTTGTGTCTGTTTGATACTCATGTTTATTTTATAAATTTTTTAAATATATGAAAACACATAATTTGGGAACTGAATTAAAATTTAATAGAAATAATATTATATACGTTGAAATAAATTAATTAAAATAACATTAAATTATTATTTCTTAGTAAATAATATATATTTTCATCTATTTTGTAATATTATATAAGATAATTAAGTTTTATAATCTTTATAATGAAAATATTTAAGAAATATTAAAACAATTTTACTGTAATTAATTTCATAACACTGCTTACAGGAAAGTGATTAATATAATATTATGAACTAATTGTGGTCAGTATTTATTTGAGTAAAAGGTAACTAATAATAACAACTAGTGTTTTAAGGTTAATAAATTTAAATTATGATTATAATGTATGATATTTATAAATATATATAAATTATAAATATAAAAGCTGATACATTTAAATAAAAGAGTTTGAGTATGAATTTAAAAATATTGCATTTATTATGTAATAAGAATATTGTAAGAGTTAATGATTAATTTATATATTTCATAGTTTTTAATATTTCCCAGTATATTTATACCATATTAATATATTATATTATATATTTTTATAGTCTATGAAACTTAATTTGCTCATAATATATTTTTTGGTTTTGAATTCTACAATCATTATATTTCTACTGAGGTAGTCGGCTCTTAATGATTTTTATCAAATTATGTATACTAAAACGTACTTATACTTTAAGCCAATTAATACAAGCTAGATGGAAAGCTTAATTTTAGTTTTACTATTAACAAAGTCAAAGATGGACCTATCTTCCTTGGCCGGCTTATCCACTATTATAGATACTAAGAATAAAAACATAAATTATACATAATTGCTAATACACTGTGTTAGAAGTGATATTTTCACAGTGTTCGATCTCTTATAACGTATTATTAATTTACATGTAATTTAATGATCGTAAATTGATCTAACATCAATTTTTGCGTAATGAACAATCACTTAACAGTCCTACTTAATTTTTACTCACCATGAAGTATTTATAATTATTGTCCTACAGTTAGACACTCGTAAACATGGAAGCAAAGCAGTTTAAAAAAAAATCATGGCCTAACCGTTATTTTAATGTTCAGCGCGAATTCTTTCAAAAACATCAATTGAATCTTC